GGTTCAAGCAAGTCTTGAGGGTCCCAACCAAGGCCCCGGCGAACAAAAATTACTTTCAATAGAAGCAGAAAAATCTGACAAACCAATCAAAAAAGTTTGAGCAAAATCGGATAACCAATAAGAAAGTTATGAATTTATAATAACATGAACAATTATTTTGAAAATCACAAGACAAATTGGCAACTCACTCATGAGTCTGTGACGTCATGTCCTCACTATCCACTATTTTTTATATTTTGTTATTGATAATATAAATTTCCTATTTTCCCACTAGGAAACTATTTCTTCACACCAGCATCCAAGTTAGATCGATATTAATATGTTTTTGTGTGGATGCACTACTAAAGAGTAATTTTGTTCAGTCATCACGAAAATTTGATTTTTATAAAATATTTAATATATCAAAATCAATAAATATAAATATACAATATTCAGAAAATAGTATCAATTCTTCAACGTTCATGAAAGATTTTGTGAAATGTCATGCTCGCAATATGATAAAAATCATATAACCTGGGCAAAGGCATGGGGAAATCAAGTTTTGAGGGATAAAAAGGGAAATTAACGGTAGAAAAATATATAAAGAAATTGATAAATAGTGAGGAAATGACGTCACAAACTGATAACCAAATTGGTAATTTGTGTACTGATTTTCTAACTTCCATAATTGTTCATACTCGTAAGAAAAAAATCATAACTTCCTTAATAGTTATCCGATTTTACTCAATTTGTTTTCTTTTCTGTTTCTCTTGTTTTTCTGCATATATAGAAAGCAAATATTTCTGGCGTGGACTGACTTGTTGTACCAATCAGTTTAAGTTTTTCAGTGGTATGTAAAGGAATTTACTGCAAGTACGAAATGTGAAAAATTCAGACATGATTGGCATTAAATCCTATGGGTTTGTTGGTTTTCATTAAGAGATTGTTTGTGTTACGTATATTAACTGTTAAATAAACAAAATTAATGATACATTGTGCTCTTTATCCGAGACCACATTTACCTAAAAACGCGACCTAATTCAGCTAAGGAGCGCGAAAAAAAAAAGCAAATGCGAAAAGTAAAAACACGGAGTTTGTGGATTCATAAAATCCGTAACATAAAAGCGATCGTAAAAGCCTAATTTGTTCAGAACATTACTCACTTTTATGGCCAGAATCGGGCTAATACACTCGCGGCGATTCAGCTATGCAAGTGCGCAAAAGACGAACTGTCAGTCCAAATTTTGATTTTTGTTTTCCTTCAATCTGCGCATACATGACTTATATTGTATTGTATTTATTGAACTTCATTGCTGTATATTAATAATTTGTTTAAAAACATATAAATCATATAAATCAATTTACAATGCAAAGTAACCAATAAATATTCGTTGGTTTACATAATATATTATATAAATCAATTTAAAAAGCAGTGTATTTAGCAACAAAAAAAAGGAAATTAATTACAGCATAAAAACTCTTTTTTCTTCTTGTAATAACAGTACACATAATGCATAAAGTAAATAATATAATGTACCATAATACATCCGAAGATTTAGATATATAAAACCTAATAGGCCTATAGCAATTTTCTAAATAAACTATAACTCATGCTATACAAAATAGGTAAATGTGGTAGGCCTACATGGAATGCCTTAAACAAATGACTTAATAGTACTTATACATATATGCGACCTACTGTAAAATTAAACCAAAAACACAAGATTGTTAACAAAAATATTTGTTGTTACATAGTATCTAAAAGTTACCCCTCACTGCAAAAATGTTTTTGTTGAACGAAGAGAAAATATTTATTATATCTATATTGCCTAATCTCATCATAAATATGATTTTTTTTTTTTTTTTTTTTTTTTTTTTTTTTTGTCTTCACATTCTAAGTTACTCAAGTTTTCTTCCAAATTGCTAATTTTGTTAAGAAAATCTTCTCATGAATCTTTATATATGTCACATCTTATAATTATATGGAATTCATCTCCAACTAGATTCATATTGCAGTCTTCAAAATACCGTAGATTAGGGGGCATTTTCCTGGTCTGTTATGCAGTGCGTCCCAGAAAAAACGAAACCGAGAATTATCGATGGTTTATCATAACTTATCCACATCTATAATTAATAAATGACACATGTTTGGCAAGCTTAGATCCTTCTCTTTCATTTGATGCCATTGATATGATGCATATTTCACGCATGAGTGATTGAAATGAATTTGAAGAGAGGAAACCAAAAAATCATTTGGCGGACGGTATCTCAATTTCAAAGAAAAAATCCCATTTCTAGAAAATTGAGTTTTTGCCCTTTTATATGACACCTCAGAACTAGGAATAACATAGTTCTGTTTGTTTCAAGTAGTGCTTGCATTTCCTTATTTTTATTAAACGAATTCGTTTTCACTGGCTGTCTGTCGTAGCAATAAACGGAATTAACAAAAGACTTAACTCCGTTTCGTTGACAATCAGCCGTAGACGACAGACTTAATGCATGGCTGATTGTCAACGAAACGGAGTCAAGTCTTTTGTCAATTCTCCTAGTTGCTCCGGCAGGCAGCCAGTGAAAACGAATTCGTTTGATAAAATTATGGAAATGCAAGCACTACTTTAAACAAACAGAAATTTGTAATTCCTTGCTCATTTTTCCTGATTGAAGTGTGATATGAAAGGGTAGAGACCCCACTTTCTAGAAATGTGATTTTCTCTTTGAAATTCAGATACCGTTCGCCAAATGATTTTTTGGTTTCCTCTCTTCAAATTCATTTCAATCACTCATGCATGAAATATGCATCATATCAATGGTATCAAAATGAAAGAGGAGCATCTAAGCTTTCCAAACATGAGTCATTTATTAATTATAAATGTGAATAAGTTATGACAACATCGATAATTCTCGGTTTCGTTTTTTCTGGGACGCACTGTATCTTCCCGTTTATATGAGTAAGTTGTGTGCGCTTAGTCGTAGTTTGCTGATATTTTTTTTTTAAATCTATATTTGGTACATAAGATAAATACTTTTCTTGCTTGATTATATTTTTAAGTTGTCTGAAGGTTTCGAGTTTATTTTCGTTACGGGTATCCCTATCATCAAGTAAATCCAGTTTTAAACGTTCATCATTAGTTGAGGCGCGATATAGCTCAGTCGGTAGAGCAGTGGTCTCGCAATCCGGTGACCCGGGTTCGATACCAAGTCGATGCGCTATAGTGCCCTTTGGTAAGGCATTACTCCTCATTACCAGGTCCCTCGGAAAGGACCTAAAGCCGTCGGTCGTCTGGTTGCTTACTAACAAGCTTTAAACTTTCTTAGCAGTCAGGTAAAACAACCACCATCACCATCAACCACCAAATTATAGCGAATGAAATTAGTCTCATGCTCATCGTTTATTAGTGTCACAGATGGGTCGTTACTGGGACACTACAGTGCGTCCCAGAAAAAACGAAACCGAGAATTATCGATGTTTTATCATAACTTAATCACAATCATAATTAATAAATGACATATATTTTGTAAAGCTTATAGATCTACTTTCATTTTGATGCAACTCACATGATGCCTATTTCACGCATGAATGATTGAAATCAATTTGAAGAAAGGGTACCAAAAATCATTTGGCGGACGGTATCTGAATTTCAAAGAGAAAAGCACATTTCTGGAAAGTTCATTTTCTGCCCTTTCATTTGACACCTCAATCAGGAAAATGAGATAGGAATAACGAAGTTCTGTTTGTCTAAAGTATTGCTGGCATTTCCATAATTCACTTAAACGAATTCGTTTTCACTGGCTGTCAGCCGTAGCAACAAGCAGAATTGAACTCCGTTTCGTTGACGATCACAGACGAAAGACTTTAGATTGTCAACAAAACGGAGTTAAAGGTATTACAAAGTTTTGGTATGGGGTCATGAATTTGGTTCAAATTAACATATCGGAAGCATATATGCGTTCCTACAATATACATTGATCTTTGTCGCGGTTGAAATCGAGTCTGAAGTTTTGAAGTTATAAATAATAAACTTTTTATGGTGTATAGCTCCCTCTCAAGGTCAAGATATTAATTTAGCTATGAAACAATGTTTCATGACTAAAATCGACCGATTAGGTATTCCCGTTTGTAAATTATATATCCCAACTACATATTCTGAGATTTTCATGGTCGCAGCTACCATTGTACGGCCATAGGCGCTATTTGAAATTTATCAAAATTTACCGGGAGCACCGGTAAATTTTTATATTCAATTTTTCTCGAAAACGGAAGTGTTTTAGGGGCTAATTTTTTTTATTGCTTTTAATACATCCACATCGGTATCCAAATATATCAAAATTGTAAAGATTCACTTTCCACCCAATTTTCAAAATTTCCCAAAACTTTGTATTACCTTTAAGTCTGGTGGACTTTGAATGGGCTACCTTCATCTCCGAATGGGTGTGTGAAAAACAGCTTTAACCTTCGGCTACCGCTCAAGCAAGGACATAAAATCAAGATAAAATTCGAAAATTCGCGACGGAATACGCGACGGCGCATATTTCGTCGCGAGTCCTGTTCTTGCATGGTTCTCGAACATCCTCCAAGATTGCGCCACTTGATAGAAGACTTGTAAAAATGTAATGCAATGCAATCATAGTATTTCCCTCATTTCTTCCTTCTTCATTTCTCAATTTAACTTTTTATTTTTCATAACTTATTTGACACGAAGTTGCCCTCTGATACCGTGACCATTAACTCCTATATATTATACGCTTTATTTTAGTGGTCATCGTAATGGCCCTGCACCACATTCACTATTAAAAGTGATTCACTCTTAATTTATGGAATTATAGTATCTGCTCTCTTTTTGTCTTCATCGATCCTGTTTCGCAAGAAGGAACAAAACAACTAATCTCTTTTTTTCAACGTCACTTAATTCGATCTCATACTTCTAAAAGTTTCTCATCGAGTCAACGTGCTAATCAGAACTGCGTCACATCTACACTTCTGGATTTGTTTCAATGCATTTCACTTGGAGCAAATTTCTTGCATCATCACTTCTCGATCACTTTAAACATTTCAACATTCAATCGAAATTTTCTTCATCTGACTTAGATAATCTTCATATTTCTCTGCAATCCACTCAGAGAACAATCTAAATTACCTCTTGTGCTAGCCAAGTAGTTTTGTGATGTAATCTGTGGTGAATTTGCGAAATACAACATGGGCATTGTGTAATATTTGCTTATTTTTGTGGTATGTGGTGATTGCATGGTAATTCTGCTCAGCGACCGCCCCCGTTTCACAATCATGTTCGCTAAGGAGCGGGGATACAATATCTCACTCTGTGTTGTATAATGTTCAAAGTAAATGCACTGGTGCCAAAGACAGTGCATAGTGCTTATATTATAACGACATCGCGTTACGCCGTTGTTGGTACATGTTGGCAATGCAGCGGACTAGATCGACGATGGGATCGACGAGTGTCACGCTAACTGAATCGTTATCCTGGATTTAGTTGAAATTGAGAGAGTATATGACACATGATTATAAGTGCGTTCGACAGTCAGGTCAGTGTATACACAGGGAATACGGCTAACGTTATAAGCTGACGTTAGAAGAGAATATAGAATGTTAATTACCGGGGTTAATTAAATGAAGAAGACTGGAAATTGGAATAGATCGGCGAGCATATCCAAACTTTTAAACTAAATTTATGTAAAAATGTAGAGTAATCATGCATGTCCTCCCAGGACCAAAATCCAATTGAAACCAGTTGAAATCTCAATTGGAATAGAAAATTTCCAGTTGAAACCAATAATATTGCCGAACTGGAAAATATTGTTATGGGTACTCATTTCCAGTTCAAACCAATAAGAAGTGCAACTGGAACCAGTAAGGTAATTTTTCCAGTTACTAATTGGTTCCAGTTAGAAGTCATTTCCAGTTACCCAACTGGTTCCAGTTAGAAGTCCAACTGGAAACAGTAAGATGATTTTCCTGTTACTCAATTGGTTCCAGTTAGAATTCATTTCCAGTTACCCAACTGGTTCCAGTTAGCATTCATTTCCAGTTAGAAGTCATTTCCAGTTACCCAACTGGTTCCAGTTAGAATTCATTTCCAATTACCTAATTGGTTCCAGTTAGAAGTCATTTCCAGTTACCCAACTGGTTCCAGTTAGCATTCATTTCCAGTTAGAAGTCATTTCCAGTTACCCAACTGGTTCCAGTTAGAATTCATTTCCAGTTACCCAACTGGTTCCAGTTAGAATTCATTTCCAGTTACCCAACTGGTTCCAGTTAGCATTCATTTCCGGTTAGAAGTCATTTCCAGTTACCCAACTGGTTCCAGTTAGAAGTCATTTCCAGTTACCCAACTGGTTCCAGTTAGAATTCATTTCCAGTTACCCAACTGGTTCCAGTTAGCATTCATTTCCAGTTAGAAGTCATTTCCAGTTACCCAACTGGTTTCAGTTAGAATTCATTTCCAGTTACCCAATTGGTTCCAGTTAGCATTCATTTCCAGTTAGAAGTAATTCCAGTTACCCAACTGGTTCCAGTTAAAATTCATTTCCAGTTACCCAACTGGATCCAATTGAAACCAGTTAATTTGCATATTATATGCTTGTGTGCAGATCAATGTTTTATGTAATTTATTTTGATTTACAATGTACTTATTAATTAATTTTCATTTGCAAGTAATGCATTTGTTTTAGATAAATATAAAGATTAATTAGCAATGGTAAGCATGTTCATTAGTATCATATTTTTGTAATTACACGGATTAAAAGTTGATTAGTAAAACACTAACCATGTACAAAATACATCAAATACAAACATATATAATGGCAATTCCCTCCCTTGTTGAGTATATTATATGGTCTGCATATTATAATGCCCTTTACATTGTACTTAATGTAGACACATATAACAATGTTTCTGTGTTGACATGAGCGATAATTAGCGCAAGAGCTAATTAACTTAGCTTATGCCAAATGTCAGTTTCAGTTGGATCCAATTGAAACCAATTGAAACCAGTTGAAACCAGTTGAAGCCAACTGGTTTCAATAGGGAAATTGGAACAACTGGTTCCAGTTGAAACCAATTAGGCAACTGGAACCAGTTGCCTAACTGACTCCGCCCCCCCCCCCCCCCCCCCCCCCCCACCCCCCGCCGTTTCCACATCCATCCCTGCGGTGAGATCGAGCCACTCCCATATTATGCACGTTAAAAAACACTCCACTTCTCGCAACGAGGGTGTGAAACCGGTGTTTAAGTTGCCTGCCTGCCATGCATATATAAGTACAGCTGGGATATATCTTCGTTATATCACATGCATCACGGCTCTTTGAAGATTAACAATAGAAAAAGAAGAAGATGAAGAAGATCGAAGAAGCTAGGTTTGTGTCGGGGAATTCCCCCCACACCAGCAACACACAGTGCAGTGGTCAGTCAGTACAGTGGATTTGACTGGAATGGCGAAAAATGACGTCATTGCTATTAATATTTTCGGGATGTTCGATCGTGAAGCTGAAGGACGATACAGTTGAAACGCATTGTTGATATTCAACCGATATCATTGTTACCCTACGACGTGTGGGTGCAATGGACAATGCGGTTAATGTTAGACGTGTCATGCAGTAGACTATCGCATTCGCATAATTAATTGTGGGGAATTCCAGTCCATTCCAGTCAAATGCAGTATCATCAGCATCATGTCGTGACGTGATGACGTGAGTTGAAATCAGTAATGTTACTGTAACTTAGTGTAAGGAGTAATAGGCGAACGTGTTTTCAATAGTTGGGCTAGCTCACATGCAGTATAGGCCTAGTAGAAACCAGTGCGACTGGCTAACGTCAGGAAATCGGAGGAGAACGGAAGCAAAGTGGTATTGGTAAATGGATAGTCGTCTATATTGTCTATAGTTCAATTCTTACCAGTGCATTGCTATAGAGTAGTGGACCTTGAAGTTGTGGGGAATATCAACTTGGGGAATTCCGACATGGGATCAATTGCCAACTTGGGCCTGGGGACTTCCAACTTAATTGTGCCGTTATAATTGATAGTTAAACCGATCCTGCTGCCGGTAGCTTTAGTCTCTTTTAGTTTTATCAACAGTTGCTCTGCGTCGCTAGCTGAGAGTGAGACTATGCTGGAGCTGGAGGAAGAGGTTGACAAATTAAGTCAGAATGTCTGTTTATTAGATAATTTCCCATACCACTAACAGTACCAGGCAGTTATTTCTGTCAAAATATATTAAATTGCAGCACCATGCAATCCATGTCTATGATTGAATGATCCTGTTTGTCGAGCTTTTATACATGCAAAGCCAAAGTCTGTGTTCAGAGTTGGACAAAAAGATTCAGTCGATCTCTGATATCAACGGCATCTGGCTAGCTCCACTGATTGCCTCTCTTTTACTTACAGAGAGACTGTTCTGAGTCTGAAGTACATAATCGTATGGGTCACTTCAATATGTGTTATCATTCTCTTATTATTTCTTGTGCATTGAATGAACAATAAAAAATGATGGTTTTGCAGTTTGTGTGAGATTGCTGTTCTCATTGCATCGTGTGCAGTTTTTTCAAGAAAACAGGCAGATTATCTCAAAGTAAATCGCTATATTTTGATGTGTTATAATGATTTTTGATAATATTTTGAAATTATATGACAGGAAATTTATTTCATTTCCAATCACATAATTTTTGTAATCAAACTCATAAGTATAGAATAGATAAACATAAACTTAAAGACCGTCAATACTACTGGGCCAGAAGGGATTAGACCACACAGCGAGGTCACTGACAGGTGGCTATCTTATTAACTCAGCTCTCAACTAAAATAAGAAAAAGAAAGAGGATAGTGGGGCATTACCTAAAGGGGCAATTTTCCACAGGAGTCTTGCGAAAATCTCAAATGTCAGTTGTATTAAAAAATTCTTCATACTTGTACCAGACGGTTATTTCTGTCTAGTCTGCGCTTTGTTCATGTTTCCACAATCTTCTTCCTAGTATAATCCTAGTGCATTGCGTAACCTCTCTTCACTAATCCGATGATGTACTTCATTCTCCGTATAGTGGCTGTATGAGTTGTTTACTCTTGCCTATGTTAAAGTTGTAACTCTAACTGATATTTGTTTAAGGATAGTGGATCTAATGTTTGTTTCCGAGTGGCCTGTTGTGAAATTTTGTTGTTGTTAGAGTGGTTCCAAGAGGCATAGGTGACGATAGGTCTATAGTACATTACAAAATCTTGTTTGCTCTTGTTTCATATCATACCCTCATTATCATGCAATGGTTGATTTGTAATGTGAAATGTTTACCCACAAATTATTGAAAGATGAATTAGTCACCAAAGTGATTTTAATCATAAATACTATTACTAGACACATTCTGAGAATTATCTTAAAAGATAAAAGAAAGGAAAAAGAGTTTGTGTTTGAATTATCTGAATCAGAGAAAGATCTCCAGAGACTCCTGGATGTAGTTATAGGGAAACAAATATTTAAAACATTTCGGAGGCTACTTTTCAAGCTTGCTTGCATGAAAATAACTCTTTTTAATTTGTTTTGCATTGAACTCTATGCAAATTTTTTTGGGCTCTTTTTAGTATTTCAGAGGCTAATTTGCCCTGAGCCCGTGTAGTTGTAAAGGAAAGTGAGAGAATGGGACTAGAGATCAACTATAAAAAGACAAAGTGCCTGGTAGTCTCCAAGAAGAGCGGTCCAGAATGTAACTTGAAACCCAAAGAACAGGTTATTAAACAAGTCTCCTCTTTTGACTACCTCGGCAGCATGAACACCGAGGATGCCAGATGTGAGACAGAGATCAAGAGATCAATTCTGACAAATCGCACAATGGGTATGAGAACCAGAATAAGAGTACTGCATTGTTACATCTACCCAGTACTTATGTATGGTAGTGAAACATGGACTTTCGCCTCTGATACTAAAAAGCGTTTGGAAAGTTGCGAAATGTGGTTTTTAATAAGAATGATGAAAATCCCCCGGACTGACAAAGTTAGTAATGAGAATCTTGCTTTTACAGGGAAATTGTGGGAAGGAAGGGTAGGGGAAGAAGGAGGATACTTTGGATGGACAGTCTACAGAAATGTTAGAAGAGAGAGAGGAGTGAAATAATTGGGAGTGGTACTAATAGAGAAGGCTAGGAACCAAGGGTTGTGGAACAGCATGAGTCAATCGAATTGGCACTTAGAGAGAGAGAGAGAGAGATTTGCCAATATTGGATTTGCTTCACTTGTTGACATGGATTTTTCATTCAAAGAATCTTCGTGGGTGTATGCTGCTACATGTATTTGTCAATTGGGCAATAGAGAATGCTTAATCATGCATGCATGTACATGAACACGCTATATTACATTATGTGTTTGAATATTAACTTTGTGTGATTTCTAATGATTTGTTTCAGGTTTATCATTTATTGAAGAATTAGGAACTCTGGAGATCCTGTGATAAAGAATCATGAATCATCATAGACAAGAACAAAGTAATCATGGCAGACCACTTCAATCTCCGCTGAGAAGGATAGTCAAAGACTCTTTTCCTGCTGATGAAAGAGAGATGGATGTGAAAATTCTGGGCCTTCACCAACAACTGGAAGAGGAGATTAAAATTGCATGTCTGGACAAGAGTATTAGAGTTGTTTTTATAGCAAAATTTCACCCTTTGTGTTCGCAAATCATCTTATTGAAGTGGGTTGAAACGAGCTGGCCATTTGTTTATTCCTGCTTGGATTTCCCTGATATCTTGAGACTCAATGAAGAGGTGAGTTTACGTGCTTTGGTCTATTCAGGATGTCATCACACTCATTAACGTATGCAGGATTTTTTCAAGGGTGGGGGGGGGGGGCAGGGTAGTGAGCACTATTTTTTTTTTAGGGGGGAGGGGGGTTGAAGCTCTTTAAAAAATACTAAACCCTCCTTCCCCTTTGAGCAACAACAAAAAATACCCCTTTTTGTTTATGTTGGCATGGGGAGGGGGGGGGGGGGAGGCTACAAACTCGACCTCTAGTTTAGCTCCTAGCTTTTATGTATGTGTACTTTATATAATAAACATACTCGAGCTCAGTGGCGGATCAAGGGGGAGGCCACTGCCCCCCCCCCCCCCTTATGAGCATTAAAGACAAATTACGCTTTTTTTTTTGTTGGCAGGGGGCCTGTCTTTTTTTAAAGGTCATTTTTTTGCCTATTCTTTTGGCCCTTGGGCCCCCTCTGCTGGGGTTTAGGACGAACGGGTAAATTTTAGTTTTCATTTCTCCCAGGAAAAAATTAAATGGTCCCTATACTCAGGCAAGTAGCCACGGGGGGGGGGGGGGGGCATGTGCCCCCCTTAAATTTTCAAGATCGGTTGAAATTTTTTAGTCCCCTTTTTTTTACCTCGATCGATTACATGTATGTGCCTCCCTAAACATCGAACTCTGGCTACGTGCCTGCCTATACTAGGTTGAACTTAGGGATCAACAGAATAAAGAATATATACATATGTATATTTCAGATTAATCAAATGTGTTTCTACCTTTTTTGTAGGTTAATATGTTTCTTTATCAATTTATAATACAGATATTAATTACCAGTACTTTAAAAATGTACATCCAGTTGTAATGAAATGAATTGTAAAGTGACATGCCTAGGTATATAAACATTGCTTTTATGAAATAAGAAGCTGGGTCAGTAATGAATAGTAAGCAAGAGTAACACACGATAAGGCCAAACAGAAGACATGAAGAGCATGATGTCCTTAAATCATTTTTCTCATTTTACAGGCATGCAGAGAAACGACCCAAATGGTTGCGCTAAGAGATGCTATTGGCCTGCTATTCAGATATGGTGTGAACCTTTTGAAACCAGATGTATCTACAAGTACAGCCTGGAGAGTCATCAGTTTTGACAATTCAATGTACAGCTCTAAAGTTAGCATACTGAAGGTGAGTTTATAAGACTAATTGCGTACATGTGATGTGCCGACACATGCACACTGCATGTCCGATATACAAAGCAATGCTCTATCCACCTCTATTACATTGTCATAACGGTGTTCTTTTGTCCACTCCGTGATTCAGTCAACCGTACGATAGCGTTGCTTTGTTGCACAGCGCCAGCTCCAGGTCAAGTTAAGTACATTGAACAAGCCACGAGGATGCTCATATTCTTGAAATATTAATTTTTCAACAGAATTTTACGAGTTCACTTTTCATGAACACAATCCTTTTTTGTTTAGGTCTAATGTGTCTAAAATGTGATATAAGGGTAGAACACTGCATACACTTATGCATGCAGTAGGATTTATGCCTCTGCCAACTATGGACAAACTATACCAACAAGTGCAAAAATGTGCTTATGATTTATGTTGGTATCAGTCTTGCAAGGATGCCATACAAGGATTTTCCTTGTTTACTTCATTTTCATAGGCAAAATAAAAGGAAACAATCATTAAAAAAAAAATTGTTCTCCTTTTTGTAAAGTATATATGTAAATAAGAAAATAATAGTAAAATAATATTAAGTATAGCTTCTTTTTTTAGCCTAGAATTTTAATTCATGTTATTCTCTAATCTCTATTCAATTCATTTTTTCTTTGAAAAAGGCACATGATTTGTTGGATAAAGATAAGTTTTTCAGTGAACCTACATGTAGCTTACAAATGTTTGATATTATTATTTACATTAGGGTAAATAAGGGAGAGAAAACCTGAATGATTTTAAGAGAACATATAGAAATAATCACATTACCTCATTAAATTATGTGAATGATTGGTGGTGATTTTGTATATATTTTAAGGATACTAGAGTTATAAAAACCTTAAAAATAAATTGAGAAAAATAAGCTAGGTTTAGAACAAAGGTACTGGAAAAATCATTTTCAAAATCCAGAGATATGTGTAATGTCTTTTTTTCCATTAGTTACTTGTATGGTACATTCTATATATTTTTTTTTTGCATAGCGATTCAGTGATTGAGATTAATAATTATTATTATATAATGATTATGATATCACATCTTTTACTTTTCACATCCCTTTGCTGCCATCTGGAGAGAAAATATCCTCTACCCTTTTGTAAATATTGTTGTTATTACCGTGGAAGATAAGATAGTAAAAGAGATACAAGATACACATTGTATATGATTGTACCTATTATCTGATGATATTATCTTGTGTGCATTATATTTTAATTAGGATTAGGTGCCATTTCAATTTATGCCTGAATGATAGAAAAGAGGCAAGAAATATTACAAGAAAAGCTACAAGAATTTTAAGAATACCAATCTTATTACAACGGTGAAGATACAAGAATAGATTTCAGAATACTGCCCCAGATGTGCAAATCATCTCTACTGTCATGGGAACCTTATTTCAACTCGGCAGTATATATATAGTGATGCCTGATAATACAATTGTTTATTTCTGTTTTTTAATGTTTATTATGTTTAATGTGTTTATTTTTCATCATGCAGTTCTTTTTTACTCCTTTTTATTGCATACATCTGCAGGGTCACAAACAAATACTCTATCTGTACGGTTATGCCAAAGAATTGAGTTACGGATTGAGCTTCCCAGATGCCTTACGTACTCCAAACACTGATACTGTGGCCAAGGTCGCTGCAGACTTGGCTATTGCTTACTATGAATTTGACATGTACATCTCTCGCTCACATCCACACCCTAAGAGGATTGTGACAATGATTCAGAGTGCAACGAATAGGACACAAACTTTTAAGAACCCAGATAAACATACTGTCCATGCCTCTCCAAGTTATAGAAGTCACAGCTCAGAAAGTTCACTTTCAGAGGAGAAGGAGAAGGAGTCCATGTTACATAATGTTAGAAATGAAGATAATCCCCTTCTTAAAAGTAGTTATCAGATACACGAGCCAGAGGGGTTCCCAAAGGTTTTTACTGCACATATGGGACAGGAGAAGCAGTCGAATATTGAACAGAAACAGGCTGGACAAATCAACATGCAGTCATCATCACAATTACCGCCATTATATAACCAAGGTAACATATATGTCTTAAAATGGTTCATCACATGTATGCATGTGAAATAGTATAGTAATTTATGTGGGGTTTTCATCCGAGATTTAAAATCAAAAGATTCATGTATTTGTTATTTCAGTTTTTTATAAACTCCAAAGGAGCTATTAAAAAGTTTGTTCTTTGTTAGTGCCTTCAAACCAAGAGGGAATAGGTAAAATGTTCAGTACACAGAGTTCTTATTGTTGATCTATAGGATATACAAAGATACAAACCAATGTACATGTATGTATATTACTAATTACTAATAATACTAACAACAAGTTATGATAATATGATAATGTTAATGATGATGATGATAAGGATGATGATGATAAGGATGATAATGATGATAATACTAATAATAATAACCTGTATTGCTACTTCTACTGCTACTAATAATGACACTACTAATACTACTAATTTTACTACTACTACTACTACTACAAGTATTATTATTAGTAGTAGTAGTAGTAGTTACTACTACTACTAATTATAATAATACTTATACTACTACTTATAGGGATCAATGGGACGTCGCTCACATGGTTTAAAAACTACCTTACAAATCAGAGAATATTAACTTGTACATGTATAGGCAACTGTATTTCTGAATAATTACCTATTAAGCTAGGGGTACCCCAAGGATCTATTTTTGGTCCATGGTTATTCATAAACTTCATTTACAATTTACCCTCAGTATTTACCCTCAGCGGATTAGGGCACCACGTGCAGTGACTTGTCTCGCAAGCTTTCAAAGTGTTGTCTGTAGTTGAGTGCTCTTTCAAATTCCATTCTGTGGTATGTTGGGTACATGTCGAATCTTAGGCCATAAGCATTGATGGTGACATTTAATTCTCGCTTAGCCTCCCTGTTGTATAAGTGAAAAGCAGCAGAGACAGTCTTGCCCACGCTGAGCTTCAGCCTCCAGTGCCGTAGGTAAGTAGCCAGGGTGACCATGTCTTGACTTATTTCGATCTCAAATGCGTCCCATGTTTTGTCCGTCATTAGTTTGGCCAGATCATCTGCATATATATCCATACTTCTTTGAGATGGTATCTGGCAGGTCATGGATATAGATGTTGAAGAATAGAGGTGCTAAGACGGAACCCTGGGGAACACCATTTCTCAGATGTTGTCCGTCTCTGGTCTTTAGGACTAACCTACGGTTAGAGATGAGCTGGAGGATAACCGAGACCATGTGCCTGTCAGGGAGCAGCTTCAGGAGCTTGTAGATTGCAAAATCTTTGGAGTCTTTCCACGCTTCATACAGGATGACAGGAATTAACAAAGCCAGTTTGTTGCCGCAGTTCCGGCATGACGGAGGAATTCTGGGTGGATACTATCTGGCCCAGGAGCCTTGCCAGGCTTAAGGAGTTCAAAGCTGCTACCATTATGTATGATGTACATATATTGATCATTAGACAGATACATATTTCTCTACTTTTATTAAGGAAACTATTGTTTTCACATGAATAAATAAAAAACATTCTCAAATTCTTCATAGATTTCTTTGTTGATAAACATGTTCATTTAACCATTTTCTTGATGTTGGTTTGATCTTAAAGTGCAAGTCAAGTTGACAAAATGCGGGATCTGCAAGCAGAACACAGCAAATGTGAGATGCAACATGTGCTCCCAGCCCCGCTGTAAACGCTGTGATGAGCTCTGGCACAAGCATCCTCAGCGGCAAGGCCACACACGTCACCACATCGAGGAACTTGAGGCTCCAAGAGCGCTGCAGCTTGATGCAAACATCAGTCAAAGGCATCCTGGTGCACTTGCGTTTCCACCAGTCATAGATAAGGCAACCATCAGGGAGACTCGTCTGCCAGGAGGTAATTCTGCAAGGATGGATGAATTGTCTACCATTCCGGAGGCATCTTCGTCCAAGGAAATGACTGTTTTAGCTGGAACCAATGGTCCACCAGACTCGCCTCCACTCCAGCAGGGCCTTGAGCTCATGGCGGAAACCCCTTCTGTGAATTGTGACTTCTGCAGTACAAAGCCCGGCAAGAAGTTTTGCGCATCATGTGAGGAGACATACTGTGTAGAATGCGATGATAAGCGGCACAGCAATCAACGAAGAAAGAGCCACAAAAGACAGGATGTGACACAGGCATGTATAATGACCCTGTCCCATTTACAAACAAACAAGATGTTCACTCACTCGCACCTATAAGTGCAGGAAAAGATGAATTCAACTTGATCAATCAAAAGTTGTCCTTTAAAGGAGACTTTATTAAATGAAAAGTATAAATGATTACATAGAGGTGTCGTGGACGAGTGGATACGTCGCCGGACTGTCGATCACAAGGTCCGCGATTCGAATCCCACCGCGTCACTAATGTCCTTTGGCAAGACATTGATCTACATTTGCCACACTCCACCCAGGTGAAGTAAATGGGGACCGGTAGGAAGAAATTCCTTGAATACTGTGAGCACCGAAATAGGTAGCCCAGCTGAGCCGGGGTAATATTGGAGCGCTTTGAGCACCTTGCAAGGTGGATATGTGCGCTATATAAATATCCAATATTATTATTCTTATTATTATTATAAATGATCACCAAGGCAATTTAATTATTTATTAATTCCATTGTTTTTCACTAGAGTGAATTTGCAGGATTTCATTTGTGCATCGTTCTAAAGTTTCCAGGATATTGAACATGAGTGATTTATAGAAGAAATTAGTAGTACCTTTATAATTATGATCATCTGGCATTCAACCAGAAATAACTATAGATCATGAGGTGACACGTTTCATCGTGGGATTAATTGAATATATAAGAACACTTCTTGATCAATTACTATGCCATTGTTCATTACTGTGTGTCAGGAGTTTGATCAATTGCACAGAGCTTGATATTTCCCTGTGAAAAGAAAACAGAAGTAAAACTCCTTTCATATTTAGCCTACATAGATTCGGTTTCTATTGATGTATTATAGCCAAGCAAAATATACACACAAGTATTTCCTTGAGAAATGTATGCATGAAACTATAAGGGGAAAACCTGTGTAAGTAATATATACTGTATGAAAAGCAAATATAAACATAACGTCGTTGTAGAGTGTATCCGGTACTAGAAGTTCCTAGTTGATGAAATAAATATTTCAAATTACCGATAGTGGTTGAATTATAAGGAAATAAACAATAAAACTTCCTTTAAAAAGGTAAAGATGCATGTTTTTTAATAAGTAATATGTGGACTTATATTACTTGCTCTCACATCTCATACTAGGATATGGTTTTTTCCAAAAATATGTATATTGATTTTCTATTTTGTATAACCGTGTTTCTTTGGGTTTATACAGACTCCTCAACCAGGAAGTTCAAGCGACATTCAGGTAAGAATGATTGATTAGGCATGTTTTGCTCTTTAGATACTTGTGTTTATGTAGTGTTAGAACCCATGTAAGATGTAGCCATCTGTTTATCTCTTCATTTTGCTGTTTTGAAATTTGTTGTTGTTTTGTATTCTGTTAACCTCTGCAGACTGACGTGTGTCGTATACCTGTAGATGAAACAGTATTTTCCATTTGATTACGAGAAAAATGTGCTACACATTTCCAAACACATTTCCCCTGTACAGCGTATACATGTACATGTCTATCATAGTATCAACAGTACTCCTGCATCCTATAGTGTAGAATGGGTTCAGATATTTAGGGGGCACCAGCATTATTGGGGAGGGCCACAGGTGTTACTTGGTAGATTGAATATGAATTAAGAGAGGGTGGTGGTCCCTCCCTATTTTTCTGCCATTTTTATGTGTGTCAGTTGGGGGGGGGGGGCATATGCCCCTGTGCCCCTCACTAAAGCTATGCTTCCGCCATTAGCTGTTAAATGTTCTTGAACTCAATTTGAACTGAATGAGTAAAAAAAAAAAATGGTCCATTAAATTCCCTGAAAGCTACACATCCGTTAAAGGCATCATTGCGTGTATGTTGTAAGTCTCAAAATAGGAAATCTGTAGATGAAGCAATCTCTCACTTTTGGAATTATCATGATTATAGGTATTGTGCAACAATGTTCAAGGCTTAAAGGAAGTGGGTCATAAGTTTTTATGTGCAGAAGGCCAGAATTCCCTGGCACCAGACTTGATGGAAATACAAGTTTCGCACACAACAAACCCTGAGTTGTATCAAGAAATGTCCCTCTGGTGAGGGAATAGCAAAGCAAGTTATTGACAACACCATGTTATTGGGTAACACCTGGACAGTGTCAAATTCCCCATGAGAGCCCACTCCTATGTGTCTTTAATATACATTGTATATTCCACCATTGAGGGCAATGGACATTTGATCAATGGAGAAATTACTGAAAGAATACAGTACATGTGCATTGCAATATGAATCGTCTGTAAATTGCACTGAGGTAGATACATGTAGATCTGATACTTACTTTTGTCATTGTTCACATCCAGGAGGGGCGGATCCTTTTTTTAATATTTTGCTCAAAGGAGGGGGGAGGGGGTATGTTGGTTTAAAAAAAAATAAAAATAGATCTCACTACCCCCCCCCCCCCCCGCTAAATCGGCCAGTTGGCCGATATTGGGCCCCCTCCCTTGCCACCACCTGGATCCCCCCTGTTCACAGCTACTTTGATATGTGGCATTAGTCAGATAACAAATGCACAATAATTCCTTTAACGACATGTAGTTTCTTGTCCTATAATCATATGTGAACTTTATCATGATTAGTGCAGAAGTGCAGATAAAAGCTAGGTCGCATGCATTCAACATAACAATTGATCTTATCAGTAAAGTAACCCCGAGGGATAAAATTGTTCTTTGTACCTGGAAGGGGGGGGGCAGCAGCTGGTTATTTGTCATTGTATTCATGAATTTACATTAAATGGTCTATTCAAATTCATTTTATCGATATGAAATCTTATCAGTTGTAATCTCTCATGACCAAGGTTCGAAGGAAAATCATATCTCCAGGGCCAGATTACTGAAAGGAGCCATATGTTATTGCTGAAATCTATACATTATTTTCATTTCAATCTGCTTTTCATGACTTATTTCAATGGTTGCTTTGTATGATTAAAAAATGCCTGAAATAAGAGTGGACCTATAAATGTTGAATATTGGCAACAACTTAATTTGTCATGTCTGGAAGTAGGGATCAAGCAAATCAAATAATGAAAGATTCAGAAGGGTATTGTGATTTGGGAGGATATTGCAAGTCGGGGGTCTTTCCTATACTAAAAATACTTTATGCGTAAGATGAAAAGGATATGTTGATATTAAGCAGATTGCATCAGCCGGAGTTTGGCCAGTTTGGTGTGACTCAGGGGGGGGGGGGGGGGGGGGGGTTGAATCAGAACTTCAGAAGCTGGACAAAACCGTTGAAAATTCTTCTTTAGCTTTAAGTATATGATAATTTGATGGGCCTGCAATCTTATTACTACCCCGGCTTTAGCCAAGCTAACATGATACGGCCTAAAAGAAAGAAAATTGGTTTAAAAATTATTTGTTATCAAGAGAACTGAAGGCTTTCTTTCTCACATGTTTTTTTTTTTCCTTTCATTATATTTAATCATATGAGACATTGAAAAACAACATGACATGAAACAAAACTTATTTTGCTCATCACATGATCACATTACCTCTGAGTGAACCTCATGATAACCTTGGGGCCAAGCATATGACCTTATTTTGCCCAAACCTTGTTGTCGAGACTAAAAAACAATAGAATACAAAGACACAGAACCGGCTGAATTGCCTTGCTATAAAGAGATTTCGCTATATGTATAACAATGTTCTTTAACAAAGGTCCACTGTATTACTCAATTTTCTATTTCTATTTCTATTTTCAGACCATGTTGCCAGACCAAGACCCTTTTCAGCTGCCCAAAAATGTGGTAAGGAATAGATGTTTCTTGTGGATGTATCATTACAGATAAAGGCCAAATACAAAAAAGGGCAAAGATTCTCTATATTAAAGAAGGAGAGCATGGTACTAGTAAGATTAAGGATAATTATAGGAGGTGTTTCAATTTGGAAACTGCCTTTTAAAGATTATAAAGAAATACATATGGCAGCAAATGCAAATGGAAACACACACATGATCCATTAAGATTTCAACCAGGGATATTGCAGCATTTCATAATTGTACCTTTTCTACTAAGTTGTGTAGTCTGACCCTCAATTGTAATGATTGTTTCGTTGAATTCTCAAATTGGGGGGAGGGGTGAGGAGATTTTTTTTTTTAACGGGGATTCTGCAGCATTTCGTAACTGTTATACCTTTCTACTTTTGTAATTGGACCCTTTTTTGTAATAATCATTTTGTTTAATTGTCAAATTGGTCCGGGGGGGGGGGGGGGGGGGGGGGGGGGGGGGGAGAGAGTAAAAAGTATGCAGGTTTTTACTCTGCTGCACATTTTGAATAGCCAGGAATGAGAGCACTTGCCCCCTATCTCTCCAATCTCCGGGATCTGCCACTGAAGCGTTTTGTTCATCCTCAAACAAGGTGCCTCGAGGAACTTCTTTTCTTTGAACAGGAATGAGACTTTGAAATTTCACTCAAGTACTACATATTAAAAAAACTTAATATGAATTATCGACTAATTTTTCACATAATGTAAGCATGAACATGCATTAATCACACATGATAACTGCAGAAAATGAATTGTTAGCATGTGTTTATCTTACCATATTTTGTATTATTTATTTTGTATTTGCTCTTATCAGCTCACCATCTCTTCCACTGAACCAGAAATACAGGTAGAAATCTGAATAATGAAGATTTCTTGTGTGCATATACTCAATACTCATAATAGTTTATAACTGTAAAGTTTTACATGCATGAAACTTTTGTCAGTCTCATGAATCATGGCTTTTCAAGAAAGTTTAGTTTAATTTTGAGAATGTTTCTCGTGCTACGTCATTCCCACCTAGTCTGAGAAACGTACCCCCTCATACAGTGTATGCATAGGGCTTTACTTCATGTATTACTCTTTATTAAAGTGAATGCCTGTCTGGCTTTCTACATGGAACATTCAGTGTATTGTATTGAATTGAATTGAATTGAATCAAATTGAATTTATTGATTCATCTGAAATTCTTTTCCATTGGTTGAACATTAACAAAGATTTTATGTGTATCTTACCACAAGCAGAGTATGTCGCATGCATGCACTTCAATAACACCCATGATAATAATACTCACATTTTGCAAATGTACACCTACATGTATTCTGAGATGCCCCCAAAAGAATTGTGCATGGGGGGGGGGGGGGGGTTCTATGTGAATATGTATCACCACTTCCATTCTAATTATCCCCTCGTCCACGAAGTCGGATGGGATATAGTAAAGCTGCCGTCCGTCCATCCGTCCGTAAAAAATTTGGTTTCCGATCAAAAACTTCAGTAATGTTTGACTGATTTTAAAGGTAAAGACCAGTATTGGAAACCCCCCATTTCAAAAAATGAAATGGAAGCTCTCATTACCAATCATGTGAAAGAATATGTTTTGACTAATACATGATGATAACAAATTTGCCGGGAAACCGCCTACTAATTCATATATTTGGTAAATTTGTTTCTCTCATGGTCTGTGAGAGATATAGGGTAGTCCCATATACATCTTTCTGTGTATAGTGCTTGTAACTTTACGAAGAATGGGCCAAATTTCTTATCATTTTGATGATTCCAGAACCTTGCAGATGCTAGATGCTAGATGATCAACCTTTTCTGATCGATTCCACAATGTTTCTTTCACAATGCAATCGCATGACCATAACTGGTCTTTACCTTTAATGAAATTTGATATGAAGGTTCATGGTATCAAAACACAGCCTAAGTTCGATTTTGGAGTACGTAGGTCAAAGGTCATAGCTCATTAAATATGCAAATCTGGTTTCCATTCGATTACCTAAGTAATGTTTGACGAATTTTAATGAAATTTAATATGAAGGTACATGGTATCAAAATACATGTACAGCCTAAGTTCGATTTCTGAGTATGTAGGTCAAAGGTGAAAGGTCATAGCTCATTAAATATGTAAAAACACCTAATTATATATGTGAAATAGTGGTTAACTTCCTTGCCTACTAATATAATAGAATAGTCCAATGGAGATAACTTGATCTGACATATATAGGCCATTTGTAACCTGCGAGGGGATGCTACGCTTTGTGTTGACTTGTTGTAATTTAATTTCAGCTGTTTTGTTCTTTCTCATCAATTGGCTGATTGTAAAAACAGAGTAATTTAAAAACACTTTACAAACCAATAGAGAATGAACAAAGTAATTAAGGAAATGGCAGCTGGTATTCACTCCCATTCACTTGTGGATGGTTTTTCTATATTGCATGTACATTTTATACTGAAGAGCTTGCACCCACTACGTGGTCTATTTTGTTATACCTACATGCATGAGTTGCATATTTGTTTGTATTAAAGCAAATATTGAAATGGTATATAAAGTCAATATTGCAATTGAACAGTCATGTACTATACTTTAGCCGTTATGTTGACATTGTTTGATTTTATCCCATGGTAATCTAATGCAAAGTATCATGTGATTGAACTATGTAAGCAATATAATGCAATGCATAGTAAAATGAGAAAATTGGAATGGTTATTCATTTGGGTAAAGGCATTTAAGAGACAGAAGTGAGGATCTACCCTAAAAACATACTAATATTAGAAAATTACAACAGCTTGTGATTCCTGGCATTGATGCATGACAGAGGGGAGAGGTGGGAGGATCCGCCCCCCCCCCCCTGCCTCCCCAGTTAGCTTTAGAATAATTTCTTCATGTCTAATAGCTTGCCTTAGATACATTTTGTACTTTGTCATGTTTTATGTAAACTTTGTAATCTAGATACACATATATAGATGTATGTACAGTATGTCATATGATATTTAGAATTAAAAAATGATGTCTTAATTTGTAATCATGGTTTATAAAATTCATTTTCTCATGTCTAGGAGAATATATGGTGTAGAAAATGCTACAAAACGCATTATTAAGAATGATGATTCAGGTCATTGCACTTTATTTATTCAATTCATTTCCATCTTTAAATGAATGTACAAAACATTGAATAAAAACACGCAACTCCACAGAAGACAGCTTCCCAGATAATCAATCTAATTGTCATTTTATGTTCACCCAACACTGGCAGAAATTCTTTTTAGTAGAGATTGCATCTTAGTATGTATCTGTGTTTGCCCTTAAATTATCATATTGAATAGAATTAAAATTAGATTAAATTTTTCGGAAAATAGAGATCGTCATGTTCAGAATTTTAAAGCAAGTTATAGAATTCCCTCCTCATGTGTGATTAGTGTAATTTAAATATGTAGTAGGAAAAATATAAAAAAAGGCTCCCTTTAATTTTATGTTAAAACATATCCTATGCATGTACTTCCACTGTACGTACCCTTGGTTTTTAGTTTGTATAATCAGTGTTAGTATTACATTGTTATAACAATCATCATTGTGGAAGTACTGTATAATCATCTTCACCGATATATATTTGTCAATTATATTACATTTTATCTTATAACATACATGTATTTACACATTATGTATTATTTTGTTCGTATAATTTTATGAGTTTCACACAAGCATGTGAAAAATGGGTTAAAATGTGGTTTGAGGGGAAAATGTAATATGCAACTGAAACAAACTTGTATTTACATTCTGTATGAATTAAAAGTTATTCAACATGTCTTTTTCTAATAAAAATCAATCTCAAAATCATCCTCTCTACTAGGAACTTGATTCATTAATCTCAAACTACTACTCGGTCCCTGGGGAACCTGCTGAACCTGGTGATGCATCATACTTCACCAGTGAGGAAGATCTTGATGTCAGAGCACCTCCGACTGATAGTTATCGTCAACCAATGCTGGGTGCAGGCGTACAAACCAAGCTAGGACACAAATCACCCAACTCTGAGGAATCACCCTATGTAGCTCCACAGGACATCACTGTGGGTGGAACAAGCAAAGAAGCTGATTTCCAGACTGAACTTGGCATCATCACCGCTGAAGACATTGCTACCTTAGAGAAGTTATTTAGTGTACGAGGTCTGAGAGAAAATGAAATGGATCCAATTAAGAGAGCAGAGCTGATGCGAGAAGAACAGAAACTCACAACGATGCATGAAGAATTGGAGAGGAAGTTGATAGTACTTCAAGGTCAGTCATCAGGTACTCAACGGGCTAGTCCACAGAAGGTTCCAACGGGTGCTGCAATTGCTGCAGGAGCTGCAATGACCATACCCCAAGGCAAGGTGATTCCTTCTGTGACTTCAGCAGGAAACATGGCTTCATCCACCAGTCCCCGAGAGATCAGGCAGCAGATCCCTGATCCTGCCAAGGCACCTAAACAGAAATCCAGAGACATTCTCCAGGATGACCAAGAAGGATGGACCTGTCAACACTGCACGTTCCTCAACACCAACATGGAATCAAACGTCTGCTCAATGTGCGACAAGACGTCCTTCCTAAAGGCCAAGATCCAGCCAACAGTGAGATCGAAGAAAACAAAACCTGAACAGTCAAATTCTAAGGTGGAGATCCAACCTCTCACTAAAGTAGAAAGGAGGAAGAAGAATGCAGAGTATTATCAGCAGCTAGAGGCAGAGGTAAGACTTTTGATGACACAATAACTTATGAGCTCACTGTGAAACTTGATTGAACCATCTTAATTTTGGAGATATTGAGTAGTGGCACTCTTTCATATTTTCATGAAGAGGGTGGGGGCCGGGGGGATAACATGCATATGTTTTGTACACCAGAGATCTTTTCTGCTTCTGTAATATTTATTTTCTTTTCATAAACTGTAGGACACAGATGAAGGATATTTCAGCATGAGAGAGATGAAGTTTGTTTCCCTCCTAAAGTGAAAAGCTCAAGTCTGTCCCTGGGTTGCATATAAAACAGACGAAATAAAACAATGTGTACCTCCCTATCTCCTCTTGAGGAAGACTAAATAACCCTTAAAGGTAGCCATTTCCAGTACATGGTACATGTACCCATTGTAGGATAGGTTAATGATAGGCTTCATCTTAACGCTCTTCCATTCTTGTCATTCTTGTGTCCTTCACATTTCCTTATCTTTCTTCATCATTCATTATTTGTGATTTTCAGATGCTGGCTGAGAAACAGCATGCCAAAGAGGAATATTCCAGAAATCCTGGAAGCCTCCAGGCTGACCCTACTGGTCAGGAACCGAAGAAAGCTGTAGTGAAGTCCAGACCACTCTCTGATACTGATCTCTTGGAACTTTCTCAAGCAATTTCGAGTACCGGTAGCTTCACCAAGCTTGGATTTGAACTTGGATTTTCTCATCATGAGCTGAATCGACTAAAAGTGAGGGATCCAACAGGAACCATCGGGGCAAGCACCTATGAAATGCTGAAGATGTGGCAAGGTGATGTCAGAGGACACGAGCAGAGACCAAAGCTGAAGCAGGCCTTGGTGAATGCAGATCTACGTGCTTATGTTGATTTTTTTGATGAAAACAGGTTTACCAAAGGACCAGGTAAGGCCTTATCATTTTAAGGAAACCAAGTAACAACCAATAGTCCATTTTTGTTAATTTGAAGTGGGGTTATTTTACTTGCAAGGATAATCATCAAAGTACAATTATTCAATGAGATATTAATGTGCAGGTACTCATTTTGAAGACAGTATAGGTGCTCTATAAATGTAATTTTGTTTCTGGACACTCATAGTTTGGGATTTACAGAGCCAAGTAACTTTGGTTATTCTGTAAACCTCTTCTCGATATCAACTCACAGGTTGTACTTTTTTATGCCATCATTGTGTCATGGTACCTCACAGTTGCAACATTCTGTGTGTTTCTCTTGAATATCACTAACATCATTTTCTTGTCTGACATTAGATGAACCCAGGGTGTCTTCACCGAGAACAAAGGCAGTACGTGACGGTATGACTCCACCTAGCATTATGTCCACACCCAGTGGTATGACAACATCTGGTGAGGTCTCAGATGAAGACCTTTTGCTACTCTCAAGGGAGATCCCAGTCGACAAGATACATGACCTTGGGTTCGAACTTCGATTCCCATATTCAAAAGTACAACACCTCTTGCACATGCACAGGATGGATGCACAGGATGCCATATTGAACATGCTGCAGGAGTGGAAAAGTCGGACAACACGTGCTGATCAACGCAGAGAGTTGAACAACATACTGAAAGATTCCAGTTTAGGGGGACTGACTTTAACTGAGGCTGTGTCAAAACCAAACAGTGAGTTTGTGATCTAGTTGATATAGTGGGCAGTTCTCTAGTCTACCTATGCAATGACTGAATGTAATGTTCAAGCCTGGTCCTATATCTTGGGTAATGACATTGAAGGTTGGCTCCTTGACATGATTAATCATAATCATACTTAGTGGATACTTGACACAAACTGTAACAAAAGCTAAAACACACACACACAACACACATTGACACAAATGTGCGCACCCTCGATATAATGCAGTTCTGCAGTACTACTGAATGACATTAAAGTGAACTTGAAGCCTCTTCACCATCTAATTTTCCATTCACAATTTCCTTTTGTTTCCCAGTCGAAGCCAGGGAACCCAGAGGCATCACTGATATGGAGTTATACGAGTTGGCAGACTCTCTCAATGCTTCCAACATCACACACCTTGGGTTGTATCTAGGGTTTGGTATGGCAGCGATAACCCGCTACCAGCATGAAGCTGCCCTGGGGTCACCCAGGGAAGGAACCACAAGGTTGCTTATGGACTGGAGAAACCATAAACCTGAGATCGACCAGAGAGAGTTTCTTGCAAATGTTTTGTATCAGATCGGGTGTGAGCGCCTTGGAGAGAAGATCAAGAAGTATTCAGGTGCGTTTGTTGAATATTTTGTTCCCTTGTCTGTTTGAGCTGCTGTTCTGCAGGGCATGGACCATCTGCTCAGAGCCAGAAGGACATTAATTATTCTACAGGTTAAAGCCCTTCTGGCAGTCCACAAAGACATGCTCATGTTTTCCGTCCGTACGTACGTCTGTACGTCCCATTTTCGTTATTGCGATATCTCACTGATTGATGGATTCCTGCCAAACTTGGGCCATGTATGTATCTTGCAGAGCTAATGAATTGATTAGATTTTGGGGTCATGAAGTCAAAGGTCACAGGGCTCATTATGTATGCAAAAACAGCTCGTGATTACATTATCATTAGAACAGATGGACAGATTACCGTCAAACTCAGGACATGTATGTATCTTGCTGAGCCAACGAACTCATTAGATTTGGGGGTCGTGAGGTCAAAGGTCATGGGGCTCATTATGTATGCAAAAACAGCTCGTGATCGCGTTATCTCAAGAACAGATTGATGGATTCCTGCCAAACTTAGGTCATGTATGTATCTTGCAGAGCTAAAGAATTTATTAGATTTTGGGGTCATGAGGTCAAAGGTCACAGGGCTAAAAATGTATGCAAAAACAGCTCGTGATTACATTATCATCAGAACAGATGGACAGATTTCGTCAAACCCAGGACATGTATGTATCTTGCTGAGCCAATGAACTGATTAGATTTGGGGTCATGAGGTCAAAGGTCATGGGTCTTGGGGCTCATTATGTATTCAAAAATAGCTTGTGAATGCAATCTCATTAGAACTGACAGATGGATTACTATCAAACTCAGGAAATGTATGTATATTGCAGAGCCAATTAACTGATTATATTTGAGGAACATGAGGTCAAAGATCAAAGGGTCATACATGTATATGAAAAAAAGCTTGTAGTCAAAATTTTCTGAGAACCTGTTATGGATTACAATCAAACTTGAATTTTTAGAATTGCTTCTGTTTTGGTTTGTAAAATTTCTCTATGACAGAGGCATCATTTTTGACTGCGTGCAGTCGAAGGTCCATCTAGTTTACTTATAGTACTGCCAGGGTTAATGTATGTGGTGGTTGATACCTACGTTAATTCCATCTTTTCCTGTCATTCCTGTAGGCTTTACACGGCATCATGATACCTTTGAGGAGAGTCTGCTGCAGCAGCAGCTGTCCCATGCCACAAGCTTTGGGGACCTCTCGTACTTGAAGGGCGAGGAAAAGACGAAATATGAAGAGATGCGCACGGCATCGTTAAACCTCATCGCCGAGCTAAGGGTATGTACCGTTTCCGTTCTTTGACTTGATATGATTCTTATTACGTGAGAGATGTGATGAATGTAAGAGTCCTTTGTCTGTTGAGAGCCACAAAGGTGTTAACTTGTATCATTCTATATAAAGGTAATGCCCTTTTGCCCTCAGGAGATAACATACAGGACTCAGATTTCATTTTTTAAGTCATTTACTGGCAGTTCATTAATAGCTGTTCATTGGAATTTTAATATTTATTGTGATTTGCATTTGGTTGTCATTTTAGTGCCATGCCAAGAAGAGCATTGACCAAAACCATTTCTTGAACATTCTTTCCTTTTAACTTGCACATGGGTGTAGATTTCGGTCTTATTTCACATAATACAAATTCTGAATGATTGGCATCTACATCTGCTCTTCAATTTTCCATTAATCATGCACGAAAAAAATAATTCTTCACCAAATGTAGCTTTTTTGAAAGGTATGTGGGATCTTATTTAATCAGAAGGTTGTCATTTAATGGGAAAGCAGTTTGGTAAATTTTTGGGGTTTTTGGCACAAAATGTAAACGGATTGTACTTTTCAGGGCTCTGTTTAAGGATATTGTGGTAGAGGGAAGATTGATATTTCTACTGTCTTAATTTTGTTAATATGTGAAATTTGGAAGCTGTATGCATTGTCAAACATGCTTTGATACATTTATGCAAGTTTTTGCACGTCAAATTTTGTGATTTTCAATGTTTATGCTGTTCTTTCTTCAGCACAATCACATCAGGACTGACCAAAACAAATTATTTAAAAATATGCTGCTGATACACGCTTGAAAGTGGCTGCCAAGCTAATAGATGCATTGAATGGCACTGACTAAAAGGTGTAATCATATTATGTGCCTAAGCAAAATGATTATCTTGATTTAATAATTAAAATCAATCAGCCTCCTACAGCCTGTAAAAAAACTTTTTATAATAATTATTTTGTTTAGCCTCTGATGAAAAATTGCCCTGTTACCTAATCATAAGAAATAAGATTTAATGGATATCATTTATTTTCTCAAATAGGCTTTTGTTCTAGCTTGACCTGTGATTACTCAGTGAACGCTCAATTTTCTTGTCAGAAATCAAAATCTCAAATTTAATATACACCAGTTGCAATGGTCATGAAAAAAGATCTTGCATAGCTGGTCATTTATGTTTTCATTTCTGTGATTGGAGTCAATCAAGCAACAACATATTAATATTTTGCCTTTTAAACATTTATAGCAAGAAGACATAAAAGAAAGGGGATAACGGATAATCTGTGTCGATTGCAGGCATACGAGTTTAATAATGCTTTTCTGTCTCTGAGCATATTGTATGCAACCTTTTAGAGAACTTAATCTTTTACAAAAAGCCCCTTCCTTCCTAATCTTGTTCAGCTGTACCTCAGGTTATAGTTTCATAATTTCAAGCAAAATTTGATTTGCAATTCTTTACTTACAAATGTACATGTACATTGTACCGGCTTCCTTTTCTATTCCAATTAACAAATTGAATTTTCAGCATTTCCTATGAATATTTCTATTTGTAGAATAACAGAAATAAAATTTGCAGCGTTTGTACTAATTGGATCTGGTTTTAAACAAAATGCATTGCTACGTTTAGTTTAAACTTTTCCCATGATAGAAAATATTTAAAATGTACCAATGGAATGATATGGATTTTACAATTGAAAAACTAAATATACACATTGCATACTTGTAAATATAATGGAAAGGATTACTCAAGAAAAGCATGACATGTACAGCATGAATATGTTGCACAAATTGTATGACCTGTGTACCTTTTACTTTCTCGTATATATTTCATAAGATGTGAGCTTGGTGAGACAAAACCATTCAAAATGCATGACAAATCAAAATCAATCCCCATTTTTTTATTACATCAGACTTCAATATTACATTTATACCTACAAATATAAACGAAATTCAGTATATTCCACCAGCAATATTCCTATTAACCTTTTCCTTTCCATATGGTTCCATTTTAGTACCAGTATCTTTGTAGAAAAGTCTGTAATCTCTTCATTTTCTGCCATTGTTCTTCATATGCATATTTTAAGTGACAAGTGAAGTGTTTATTTATTTATTTGTTTTAATTTTCATATTGTGATGTACAGTGTTTCTTTTCTGTACCCTTTTCTCCCCTAACTTTTTCATTTATTTAATTTTGCACCTTTCCCAATTATAGAGGTGCAATGTTCAAATACCCGGTAGAGGTATTTGCAGGTAGGCCTATGTTTCATAAATGGCAAGATCAATGTACATGTAAATATATATATCCTGGAGCAAAAAATGGCTGTGTGAGTCTGCAATACTGTTTATGATTTTTGTCTCATATTTTTCTCAATTATTTTGTTTATTTCGCTTTATAAATCTGTTTTCTTGTTCCTAACATCTCCTATTACATCTATTCTAGCCATTCAATTCTTCTTTATCCATCCTCTTTTTTTTATCTGTTCATCCTTTTCTTCTCCCTCCATCCTTTTCGTATCCGTCCAGTATTTATATTTGGCTATTCCATTCATATCTTTCCATCCTTTCCTGTTCATTCTTTCCTGATCTATCCCTCCTTTCTCATCAATCCATCCTTTTATCTGTCCATTCCTTTCTGGTGTGCCTTTCCTTTTCTCATGTTTCCATCAATCTTTTTGTTATCACATCTGTCCTTTTTATATCTGTCCTATCCAACCCATGTCTTCCCCAAGTACGTTATCTCAAATTTAGAGCACATTTCTTTGGTTAAACGGGTCACAGCACTTAGTATAGTACTGCACTTGTTATAAGGTTATAGACAGGGATTTGTTAAATTCATTTTGCTGTCTATACAGCAGTGTAGCAGTATCTCATTAAGATAGCAACCAAGGCATGAGATCTCATACATGTACCGGTGTACCTGATATATGATGAAATATGTTCCAATCATAAATTGAGGTTATGACAATACAAGGCTATGTGGACATAAATACAAATGGAATCCTTTTTATTTTGCCTTTGTACTTAATGGAGGTATGCACACTGTATATATGAGATGGTACACACGTTTAAAGGTTCATGATCTCTGGAAAGGGAGAACTATTTTACGTGTAATTTTTTAGAAAGACTATTGCTTCAACTCTTGAAAAATTAAAATCAGCTGCACATACTGCAAATGACTGAAAAATGAGTCAGAAAATCAAACACAGGGAGGAACTTGAACCCACAGGTAGTCTTATTGATAGTCAGAATGAAATGGTTTGTTTGTGATTCATGAAGTCTATGACATGGATTAGAGATGAAATGGATGTATGGTAGGTACCCAGATAGCAGCTGTTGTGGTTCAGGTTCAAATCCCTCCTGGTTTGAATCATCATTTTCTTACTTAAATTTCATTCACTTGTGCAGATCTTGCAGCTGATATTTACTTGGAGAACCACAGTTTCTCAAGGCTCATTCACATGTACCTGCAGTAAACTGCCTGTCGGTTTTTCTGAAGCAGATTACCTGGGCAATTAATAATACTGAAGATAGCAAATTCTGTTTTGCCTGGGAAGCATCATCAGCTTCAGTGCTGTTCTTCCTGGTGGTCCTCAAGTTATCATTACCCCAGCAATTACTAGGTACCCATTTACACCTCGGTAGGGAGTTACGAATCTGGATAAATGTCTTGCCAATGGATGTTAGTGCCCAGTTGGGATTTGAACCCTCAACCCTTGGATTGAGAGTCAAGCGAATGAACCACTATACCACAATACCTTCATATGTGAATAAGCCTTTTAGAAATGTCTCATATGAACAAACATTATGAAGATTCCTAACACTTATATTTTAATGTTGGTTTGCAGTGACTAATAACAAAATGACATCCATTTTCTCTCCTTTGGCCGTGGATGGTATTCTTAGAATTTTGTTTTCTCCTTGTGTTTTGGTGAGAGGTATATCATTTCATGTCATAACAAACCCAAATAAAAACAAATTTACATTCCTGCACATCTCTGGGTGTGATTATTTTGAGAGCCATTTTCACAGGTACCCAATCAGTGACTTTGATAAGTCACAACAACAAAATAAAATACCTCTCACTAATAAACAGTAAAAGTAAAAGTTTGCAGAATACCACCCCATCTGTATCTCTGTTTAAAATCTTTTTCATGAACGTCTGATGCATGTCTTATTTCTCTCTATAATTCATTAAAAAGGAGAAAGTATTATTTTTGCCATTGTGAGTCTTTTTTCAGACTAACTTTACTAATGAGCAAAAAGGCTTCTCTCCCACATCATTCTGACTTCATTCATTGTAGTTGCTTTGTAGCTAATCAGAGACATGCAGACATTAGGTTTGAATACTTCAGTTTCATTCATTGCATGTTGCATGTTGCATGTTACAGAATTAGATCCTCATCAGAAAGATACAAGACATTCTCTGACATACGATAGGCTTGTCTTTTCAGTTCTAATGGGATAAAAAGTAAGAAATAACATAATAGTATGCATTGTAGTAAGATGTGCTCATATGTGAATTATAACTGTGAACAGACACAATTGGGAGCATTGCAATTCTATCTTGAAGAAGCTTATCTGTATAATAATTATAATAATCGGTTCTTGTATAGCGCATATCACATTTAAACGTCTCTATGCGCTTCCAAATTTGTTCATAACATAAAGTTCAGTGTTAGAAATTGAGCAGTGTTCCCTGAAGTGAGTACATCTTGATCTACTGTGCCTTACAACTCATATACTGGTATAATTTCTTTATATTTATATCTTTATATTAATACAAGCCTTCTACTAAAAGTGTTAGGGTTTGTTAGTCTAGGTGTAGTACTTAGTACCCCTCCTCTCTTAGATGCTAGAACCAAATCTGTTGATAACCATACAGCATTTGCCTACTACCACCCAGGACAAGAGGGGTATAAGCATGACACCCGAGCAAAAGTATGATGCATTGAGAATTGTCAACTGCATCATTCTTATATCAAGGCTTAGCAGAGTTTTAGGGCATGTCTGTTTAGGTGCAGTGCTTAGTACCCCTCCTCTCTTAGCTGCTAGAACCAAATCTGTTGCTCTTGCCTACTAACACCCAAGATGGGAGTGGGCTAAGCACTACATCCAGATCTTCTACCAAACTGGAATGATATGATAAGAAAGGTTTCACACTCATGAAGGCAGTGTACTTGTTTCTTTCTCTCACACACCCACAGGAGGCTGAATCACAAGGCATACCCCCGGGACGTATACAGTGCGCCCTCTACATCATGGAGGAGACAGGGGATGACCTCACTGACCCTATAGCATGGATCGCTGACAACTGGTCAGATGTTGTTCAGGATCTTGCGACTAAGGCCACCCAGGAGCTCAGGGAAAATCTTGAAGTTGATGTAGACACCAAGTACGTGTGACACTCGGTGAAAGAGAAATGAAAAAAAAGATATACCTTTTGTTAGATATAAACAAATTGTTTTTATAAATGTAATGCTTCCTTGGAGAAATTTCAATTGTTTAAACTCATTTTTCGCTTAAATTTGGTAAATAAAGATCGCGTGCTCAAAGGCAGGTTTAATGCCCGCTGGTTCCAAGATTTTTTCTGACTTGTTTTCAATTAGATCGAGCATGTGATCTTTATTTACTGGGTATAAGCCGAAAAAGTGTTTAAACAAACAAATTGCTATAGTACCCTTTTTGGGTGTCAATTTTCAACTTACAAAGTACTACTGGATATGTGCTTATCAATTTGGTGATCCTAAGAGATTGAGCAACATTGCATGGAAGAATCAAATAAAGTCTATTGTGACTATATTTGCAAAACAAAAAAGGACCCAAATTAATCATGAAGTTTTACTACTCGCACTCCTCCAAAAGTTATGTGGCCAATTTTTAACAATCGCCCAAATCCTGAATTCAACCCTGGACCAAGTGCAATAACTAACTCTAGACCTAACACTCAAATCAGAACCATAGTCCTACCCTTTATCTTTGATGAAAGCCTTGAGCAAAAATCCCCAGAAAATCTGCAGGGTCATCATGCATTATTTGAAAAACCGTGAATAATTTTATGTGAAAGTTTCCTAATATTTGAATTTGAACTATTAAAGGTAAAGACCAGTTATGGTCATGCGATTGCATTATGAAAGAAACGTTGTGGAATCGATCAGAAAAGGTTGATCATCTAGCATATATGTATTGGTGTGTACTGCAAGGTTCTAGAATCATCAAAATGATAAGAAATATGGCCCAGCTAGTCTTCGTAAAGTTACAAGCACTGTACACAGAAAGATGTATATGGGGCTATACGCCCACGTGCACGACATGTGCGTTTATCTCTCACAGACCATGTAGATAAACTAATTTACCAAATATATCAAATTTGTATCATCATGTATTAGTCAAAACATATTCTCTTACATGATTGGTAATAAGAGCTTCCATTTCATTTTTTGAAATTGGGGAGTTTCCAATACTGGTCTTTACCTTTAAGAGCTCTATATTTGTGGTTTCAGTCAGGACTTTACATTCTCTCGAAAACCTTTCTTGTTATTCATCTGACCTTAGAATAATGGAACTTGTCCAGTTGAGTGTGGAATCAGCAGAGAAGTGCCTTGAGGAATGCTCCGGAAACACGCAGGAAGCCATCAAGGAGTGCACTCAGAGGATACAAGAAAAGGTGATTGTCTTGGCTTTAATACTTCTAGGATGACGTTAGCTCTACTTAAGTACTTGCAAATCCTGTCAAGACAAAGATAATGGGATCAAACAAACATCATTGAATCTAGAGTTTGTAAAACAATAGCGTAGAAAATGACTGGGCAGCATACTGCCTTCATTATTTCAACAAAACAAAAAAAATGGCGGCCGAGTATACAAGAAATCGTATTTGAGTAGTTGTCAACAGTGCGAGTACTTGAGTATACAAGTACTCATCGCAGCCTTACTTTCTACACAGGTGGCTTTTACGATTGTGGCATTCTCAAAACATTGTCCTTTAAGATATTCAAAACTTAGTTTGAGTTCCAAAATGGTCATGTTTTCTTCATCTTCTTTTCATTAGTGTTCTTTATTGTGCAACAATTGATATATGAAACAGAATCAATTCGAATCAAATCATTATGGGTCTATAAAAGCATCATTCTTAATTTGTCGTATTGCATGTCACAAATTTAGTTTGATTTTCAACATGGTGATGTTTTCTTCATCTTCTTTTCATTATGGGTCTATAATAGCTGCATTCTGAATTTGTGGTATCGTAACTTGATACTGGCATGAGAATCTCCCACGTTTCCGTTGTTTCCCGCTTTTTTGAGGCCAAAAACAACAACCAAAAAACCAGCTAAACTGCCAAAGTTTTCTTGATCATGCATTTCCGCAGTTCCCAGTTTTTTTTTTAACCCTGTCTTTAATATATTTAGGAAGTTCATGTAGTTTGGTTTCATTGTTTTTATTATGTTCAAAGTCCAAAGTTCATTGCATAACAAGAGCACATGCTGCCAAGTGGGTTTTTCAAAATGTCGCAATTTCCCCTAAAAGGTTTGGCCAGGTTGACAGGAAGTTGACACTGACTCACCACTGATAAAACCCAGATTTAAAGGTTGACATATAGATCTGAATCTAATTTACAAACAAATCATAAGCTTGAAAAAGCCTTAAAGTAAGAAAGCTTACGACCCATATTCTACTCAAATTCAAACCTGATGCTAGCTTAAGCTTTTTTTTATAATTAGAAATTAGTCTAAAGTATGAATTTTCCTTTGTTAAATGTAATCTTAGAGCCAGGGTCAGTAGAACATATACAAATATATCTTGGACTTTCAATCACAAACTCATTGCAAATCTATCATACAAGTGACATGGTACATTAATGATGAGCTTCATGTGTACTTCACAAACTAATCATAAACCAGAAGTGAACCTAAAGGGAAAAAGATATTGAGCTCACCATATCAGGAGGTTGATTACGTGTGGTACATGTATGTCATGCTTTACTGATAGCTTGGTTTATTTGTGGTTCATATATAATCATCACAGTTCTTAGTAATATCAACAGGATATGGCTTATCTTGATTGCCCCCATGAAGTCAGTCACCTCTTGTGTTTGGCATGTACCCCATTCAACTACAATTAATGACATTGCATCATATCCTTGTGTATCTCACTAGATCTTAGAAATCCAAGAGGTCGGTAGCTACTCCGTGGATGACATTGTTGCCATTTTGAAGCAGGATGATGTGAGGGGGGATCCTGAGAAGGCTCTAGACGCCCTCCAGGTGAAGGCTATGGCTGAGTATGTGGACAGGGTCTGGACACCAACACATGATGATGACAATGAGTACTTCCAAGAGGCCATCAAAAATGATGATGTGAGTTATGAAGAAATGATGAAAAATATGTATGAAAGAAGGACTTGTGGCTCCGAATTTGGGTTCTATAATGTTGATTATCAGGTATTTCAATGAAATGATTGTTACATGTATCACTGGCAAAGGTGGCTCAATAATAATTGCGGAACAAGCTACACTGTTGCATCAGAAATGTTAAATCTCTAGAAACATTTCAATTGAAACTAAAGCACCTTCTGTTTGCCAATATATGTTTTATAACCTATATAGTATATAGTAGTAGTACTATAATATATTAACCCTATCTATCCCGGGGGGGGGGGGGGCTTTAGGAGCCCCCCCCCCCTCTACATTTTTCGCGATAATTTTTTAACGCAAGAAAATCTTGCACTGAAATTTTGTGACTTTTTTCTTTCGAGTCTTGCGCATCATTTGCAAGAAATTTTTCGAAAATTGGACCTACCATTACAAAGTCACGTGTCCTTTTGTCTTTGCATGTCAGCCCGAAAATTGCTCAATTTTTTTATTTGTGTACAAAACATATTGTAATCTCATTTTTCAAATAAAGAGATAAAACATCAGTTATTTGGTCTTGTTTATAGTTAAGGTATTTATTTTGGGGTCAAAATAGTTGTATTATAGTTGGAAATGAAATAAAACAACAAAAACAATGAAATACATGAGTTAAAAAAACAAAGAAATACATAAGAAATTATCAAAACAATAGATAACATAAGGAATAACCTGGCTCTTCCAATTTTTTTTTGTCTGTATTATTACCCCAAATGGTCTAAATAATATATGTAGTGAAAATTAATGTTTAAATATGAAGAATATATGATTTATGGATAAGAATGTGAATGTTATTACCATATTTGCATAAATTACCATAAATATGCAAATGAGTGAATTTTTCAAAAAAATTGAAATTACCATAGTATTCTGTACACTTCGCTTGACATGTATGCAAATTTTTGCAGCGATAGGTCATTTCACGGGCTATGCAGTTTCCAAATAGCCCGGGCTATATAGGGTTAAAGGAAACCTCACCCCAAAGAATAAAAATAATGTTGGTATGTCTGAAGTGCCCTATACATCCTTGTAATGAGAGTTTGAGAATCTTTCACTTGTAATGTACATTACAGAAGTACAAAGATACATTTTAGTAGGTTGATTCAGAGCAGAGAAGATGGAATGTAAGAGTAAATTTGGTATCATCATCATCCTCTTTAACAGCGCTCTATCAGGATGTTAATGGTTGAGTATAACATGCGCAGCTGGGGCCGTGCACAGACAGCCGCCAAGCTAATCATACGCAAGGAGTTTCTAGTGGACGATGTTGTGACAGCTGCGGAGGAATGCGGAGATCTGCGACGTTCCGAAGTCTTCTTGAAGCAAATGTGCTCAGTCTGTTATATAGATCTACCAAGAAACAAGGTCTGTGATATTTTTTTTTTTTTAATTATCTGTAACCTGTGGTTTGTTTTTGTGTCTGAAGAAGAGGGATAGAAAGATGTTAATAATCCTGATGACGATGGTGATATTAGAATGTATCGATACAATTTTGCAGAACATGTTAGTTGTGTGTATTATTATCAAGCCTTATATTCTCCTTGACCCAATTTCTGCCTCTCTCTCTCTCTCTCTCTGTCTCTGTCTCTGTCTCTGTCTGTTTGTCACTGTCATTTCCTGACTCTGTTCTCTCTGTGTCCCTTTCTCTTGTTTCCCCTCTACCCCACCCCTGTCTCTGCCACTCATTTAATATCAACTTCAGGGAATTTCCCTATAAGTATAATAACATGATCGTTGCTTTTGTTTTTTGCGCAGCTGATGTCATTGATCAATTGCCAGTGCATGATGTGTCGTGATTGCGTCATCGAGCATTTCGAGATCATTGCCAAGGACAAAAGCATCATGAAAGGCAAATGTCCGCATTGTGATCAGCCTGACCTGGATGATCCTGCCGTGGCAGCAGACTATTTTGCATTCCTGGATATCCTTGTGAGTATTTTTCTGAAATATTAGAATATCTTGGATAGTTTGAATCATCAACACAGTCAGAAGGCATGGTGGCTCAGTAAGAGAGCAGTGGTCTTATATAAACTAGGAGGTCTCGGGATGGAAACCAAGTTGACGCACTTGTGCCCTTTAGTAATTACCAATGTAGAACTTAAGCCATAAGTCCATTTATTACTTATCTACAGATGTCCTCCTGCTATTTATCTACAAGTATACCTTCATAGCAGTCAAGTGAAATAAAGTCTTTATCATTAATGATTATCATCAACAACATATCTAAACCTTATTACAAATTTCCCTTGTGCTTACTATCAAGTTATCCAATGGAGTAGACTACTGTATACTTGATTATCACCACCTCGATCATTATTAAATTCCAATCAAGTCCATAGGTTTTTTATGCCTCCCCTCCGCTACAAAGTAGCAGGAGGCATTGGGTGGTATTCTCATAAGTTAAGCCAGGACTAAGTCCAGACTAAACAAGAATTTTAGTTCACACTTCTATGGAATGCTAGGTTTCATCTTCCTCCTGCAATATTCATGACAAAAATAATCTACCAAAGACTTTGTTGAAATTCAGTTCATACTCATATTAACTTTTTCTTCCCATTTCATTGCAAAAATTAATTTTTTGGACACTTTTCATTGAAGGAATAAAATAATCTGTACAATGTAAATGAGTTGGCAACTGGCACTCCATAAAAGTGTGGACTAACTTAGTACGTGCTAACTTAGTACGCGCTACCGGAATACCACCCATTATGTTTTTGGGTTGTCCGTCCATCCGTACGTCCCGTTCTCGTGATCGCGTTATCTCAGGAACCAATTAATGGATTCCCGCGAAACTTGAGCCATGTATGTATCTTGCATAGCCAATGAACTGATTAGATCTTGGGGTCGCGAGATCAAAGGTCAAAGGTCACAGGACTCATTATGTATGCAAAAATAGCTTGTGATCGCGTTATCTCAAGAACCCATTAGTGGATTCCCGCCAAACTTGGGTCATGTATGTATCTTGCAGAGCCAATGAACTGATTAGATTTTTGGGTCACAAGGTCAAAGGTCACAGGGCTCATTATGTATTCAAAAATGGCTCATGATCGCTTTATCTCAAGAACCCATTGATGGATTCCCACCGAACTCGGGTCATGTATTTATCTTGCAGAGCCAATGAACTGATTAAATTTGGGGGTAACGAGGTCAAATGTCAAAGGTCACAGGGCTCATTATGTATGCAAAAATAGCTCGCTTCTGTTTTGGTTTGTAAAATTGCTCCATGGCAGAGGCATCATTTTTTACTGCGCGCGGTCGAAAGTCCATCTAATTTCAGTTTAATGCACTTTCCTTGCAGTTACAAAATGCATCCCAAGTTGCTCCACAGGGCCACTGAAACAATGAAAAAAAGCTTCAAAAAGACCAATTGAGTCCACATAAACAAATTACAATCCATGCTCTAACAAAATAATTGGGCCTTCATCATCATCATCATCGTCATCATCATTATCATCATCACCATCATCATCGTCATTAATATCATCATCATCATTAATATCTTCATCATCATTATCATCATCATCATCATCATCATCATCATCACCATCATCGTCATCGTCATCATCATCATCGTCATCGTCATCATCATATCATCATCATCATCATCATCATCATCATCAACATCATCATCACCAGCACCATTATCATCATCATCATCATCATCACCAGCACAATTATCATCATCATCATCATCATCATCATCACTGTGTACATATATGTGAGCATGATGATCTATAATTGTATAACTTTCAGCTGCGTGACATGCTGAGCCCTGATGTGTATGAGCTGTTTCAGAGGAAGCTCCGGGATTGGAACTTGATGCAGGATAAGAATTTCTGCTGGTGTGCACATGTGAGTCCTTTCTCTTAAAGCCCTCTAATATAGCAAACAATGCCTAATCGGTGACCATTGGTCCCCCATGATCATCTTTTTCTTATGTCAATAGATAGATGAGATAACCACCTTGACCATGCAGGTATGTCTAATCCCTCCTGGCCAAACTAGTACAGTGGGGCTTTAATCTCTTCTCAGTAATTAATCAAGCAGTTGTATGTAATGGGTCCATCACCAAATCAGTCGATGAGGAAATAAGTACCAGGTAGAAGATTCTCTAAAGGATTTGTTGCCTGTGGACTATGTTAGTATCCTTTAGAATGTAAGTGTGTATGTCATACCCCTTAGGCTTAGTGATCCTGGCCAGCTTAAAACAGGATGGCAGCCTCCCCTTATTAATTCTTGTACATACAATCGCAAGTCCTCCAATCAATCACAAGTTTGCAATCTCCTATCTCTTATGTACATAGTTGCGATTGAAATCAATCGCAAATAAGTTTTGATTGATATCAACTCTTTGTCATACAGGGCCCTGTTCAGAAACAGATCTATTCCCTGTAAAATTAATATAGTCCTGACAATTCACACGCTATTTTTGAAGAGTGTACTTACAACTCTAATATGTACAGGATATCACCTTCTACTCAGACCCCTACTTTTAATCTTGTCAGTGGTAATAACTACAAAAATCTTTATCAGTAGGAAAAAATAACTGTAATTAACTCTGTGAAATCAATATTTCCTCCACACATTTGCAGTGCAATTCTGGCTTCATCAACGGAGCACCAGACAGGCGCAAGATGCGATGTCCCGAGTGCAACAAACTGACCTGCTTCCATTGTAAGAAGCAATGGATGGACCAACATGAGGGTATCAGCTGTGAGGCGTTCCAGCAGTGGAAAGAGAACAACGACCCTGATCTACAAGCCCAGGGTCTGGCTGCCCATCTCAATGAAAACGGCATTGGTGAGTAGAGCTAGGGGATCTTGGATTGTGACAAACCTGAAGGCCCTAGGAGGTGTTTTAATAGTTATATACTGATTGATGGTAATGACAGTCATAGAGAGGGTACAGATTCAGAGATGCCAACTGTTCCGTTTTTGCCGTATTTGTTCCGTTTTTTCGCTATGAATACGGCAGTATGTTTTTTGTATGTTTTGTTACGTTTTTTTTTTTTTTTTTAATTTTTTTTTAATTTTTTTTTTTTTTTTTTTTTTTTTTTTAGTGACGTTTTTCTTAATTTCTGATCATGGGCTTTGTGTCGTAAGTGTATTATGCACCTACATCTTCAATCAATGCACGCAGGATTGTGATACGGGCCCCAATTTCCGATCGGGGTACGTAAAGGTGGTACTGCCGTGTTTTTTTAAGCTGCTCGATTGGGCGATATGTTAAGTTGAGAGATTTTTTCAAAAATACTGTTTTTTGCTCTTAAGAATACTTTTTTTTGTTAAAGAAGGTTGGCATCTCTGCAGATTAGTACTACAGTGCGTCCCCAATAAAACTATACACTTTTGAAATGGCTGCCGAATAAAAAAATATATGATTCTGGGGAAAATTGTATGGAAAGCTCATAAACTCAACTTTCATATGACACCAAAAAGTCTGAAAATAATTCATGCTTGGGTGAGCACTGCTCACTTTTGTAAAGGGTATGAAAAGTAGGTTGCGCAGGAATTAGCCTTCAAATTTGTGAGAGGTAAATCCTTTGGAGCTTACAAAATTGAGGGTGATATGATACATTCTTGATTTACTGAGTGAATTTCATGGTTTATTAAACCAAACCTTTATGCATGAGTGAACAGGAATAAGCGAGTTTGTGATTAGAATTTAGTGCCGTTAACACTAGATATATTGAAACCATGTTATATCGCTCTCTGATGTAGCTAGATACTCGTTATAACATTATACCTGATATAACAGGATTACAGTGTATAAAGTTAGATGATGGTAATAGTCTTACACAAGTATACCACCTTTGATGTGGCAGTAGGAAAACAGTACCCCTTTCACTGGCAGTCTATTGTAATGCTTGCCTTATTTTTTTCGTGAAAATTCGCTACACTGAGAATGAAGGAATGATATAATTCAAGTTCTGTACTAATCAGCACATCCTGAGAATGAGAAGATTCCAGTTTGTTTTGCAAAGCGTTGTATGAGTTAACAAGCATGAAAAAGCTTGATATCCCCTACCACTCCAATGTTTGTCTACATAAGACTTGCTTGGATAGATATGTAAAAACTCGTAAAATACTACCAAAAAAAAATCCTAACAAATACCACTTGTCTATAAAGACCACATTTTTGTTTTCCCATACAGTGTTCCCAATTGAAATCTTTATGAAAAGTAACCTGAACATAATAACAAAGATCATATTTTCTTTAGCAGTCTTTATAAACAGGTTTCACTTTATTATGCTGTATCCTGGCTGCAGATGCATTGTAGTATACTTTTTCAAAATCAATAATTCATGTACATGTATGTGTAGTGGTGATGTTTGAAGTAATTTCTAATACAAAATATGAAGTCGTCTCAATTTTCCTTACAGTAACAAAGTATGTGCCCAGTTTTTGATTTCATACATTTAACTCCCTGGTATACAGTTTACAAGAAAATTAGTTAAACCCCTTGTAATTTTTTTTTTTTTTTAAAACCTGTGTCTGAAGTTGAAAGGTAGACTGGTTGAATAAGGGCCTTTGTTGAATGATTTTAGATGTAAGCTTTAATATGTCACCTCCTAAAGAAAAATAGATCAGGACAAATCAATTTTCACATACTTAAAAAAATACAGAACATAAAGAACTGTTAAGGGTATGAATAATTTAGATGTTGACTGTATATTCCTCTTTTTCATAAACATTATATTACATTACTCCCTCCACAGAATGCCCTCGCTGTAAGATGAGGTTTGAGTTGGCCAAAGGTGGATGTATGCATTTCAAATGTCCTCAGTGTACCTTCGAATTCTGCTGCGGATGCAGTCAACCAATGAAAAGAGGAGATGTAAGTTCAAATGATGCTTATGTTGTGGTTTCTCTTCTTTTTTTTTAATCCTACAAAAGAAAATGTAGAATAGCTTTACAGCAGAGTATTTGTTTATTAGTTTTATGTATGAATATTCAAGTTCACAGTTAACATCACTAGGCCACAAACAAAAATTGTCCTCTTTTTTTCTGAGTTTCCAAAGTGTTCCTTATGCATTGTACAGATTGTTATTTAACTCATCAACATTTATTTTACTGGTACTTTCAATCTGATACAAAGTTAGTCTGTTCTATCATAAGATACATGACATCTATTTGATGTACAGCATATATTTCATGATTAACTAGATCATATTTTTTGTTTTCTGACTGGTTCATGCATGTCTATTTTGTATCATAAACATTGTATAATGGACTATAATATTGTATATTTATATGCTAATGGAAAAAAAAAAATGAAATTAATGGATAATGATGATAATAATATTTACTGCTACATTTACATTTTACACATATCCACCCCATGGCATGATCAAACTGAAGGATTTTGAGGAATAGTGAAAGTGGAAATTGAAAGTGTATTCCTTTCACTTCAATGTATGAAAGATATGATTATATAAAGCATGTTGACCTATCGTCTCTTATTACAGGCTTGTCACAAGTTTGGTTCCTGCCTTCGTAAGGGTCTCCATGCCCACCATCCCAGGGACTGTCTCTTTTATCTCAGGGATGAGGACGTCAACTTCCTCCAAAAACTTCTTGATGTAAGTGTCTCCTCTTCCCCAGTCCTATCCTGAATGAAATGAGTTTTTAGCCCCGTAGAGTTTGTCTATGTCTTCATCAGAAGTGCACTTGAGAATTCATTCTTGAAGCGAAAGTGTTAATTTGTTTCTAACAACACGTTTATTGCTACACTTCAAAACTTCATGAGAGGCTCTTCCATTTCATCTCTTTCCTCATCGGAAGTGCACTCAAGTGCCCAATCATGAATTGTTTTTATTTTTTAATTACATTGTGTAGTACATGTAAGTATGCGCAGGCACAGATAGACATGCCCGTCTAATGAGGCATTTTTATTTTTAATATTATTTAAGTGCTAAAAATATCACACTTTTTAGAGTTAATAAAAAAAAAAAGTGACTATCTCCCATCTAAACATTTGATTAGGTTCAACTCAGCTGTTTTATAAAATCTAATGTTTGCATGTTGCAGAGGTGTTGAACTCTTCATTTGTTAATGATTAAAGCGCGGGACTGCAAAATCGGAGTATAAGGTACATATTCACTGTAATTGTGACTAAATTTGACCGTGGCAGTCCAGTGTTTGTTCTAGTATTAGACCAAAAGCAGAGAAAGAGTAAACATTTTGTTTATCTGGTGACTATTGACTTTTGATAGGATGCAGGCGTGGAGTACAACAAGGAGCCTCCAGAAGGAGCCGAGGAGAACGAGGAGGGGGTATGTGGGGTCAAGGAGCAGAAGGAGGGGCCCCTTGGCTTGGAGGATGATAAGTGCGGCAGGAAAGTGACCCATGGAAATGCCGGACTCTGCAGGTAGGGCATCATCTCACGTTTCTGCTTTCTTTTAATGGCACTTTTCTTTGCCACGATCAATGTCTTATTGCTGTTTAAGGTTGTTTTATTAATAGGGTTTTGCTCATTTATTTTTCTCTTTTGTTTAGCTTAGTGGTAGAAATGTAGACCAAAGTTGTAGTTTAGGTAAAAAAAAAATTGTTTTTTTCTCTACAAAGTTATCAGATGTTTATTTTGGATTAAACATCTCGTGAATTTTTTCAAAAAACAAATTATTATTCATTTTCTATTTGGTCATTCTGTAGCTGACCCATTGTTTAACAAAAACATATTGCATCTCATCAAACCAACTGAATGAATGTGAACCCAAGCAAGCAATTCGTTTTCAACCTGGCTTACTATTAAATTGAACACAATTTCTCAATATGTGTTTGGAATGGAATCAAAATTTTACCCCAAATTAGCAATTACAACAAAATCATAATTCTGTTCCAATGGTTATGTTTATTTTTTATTTGTTTCTGAAGGCTACACTACATTGAGTACCTAGTGGGTTTGATCAACGTTAAGAACATTGACCCAGCTAAGAGTTTCCCCATCACACAGCTGGATGCTATATTGAAGCGTGAAGAGATCGCGGTTCCAGACAGACGGCCAGGTGAAGCGGATCCCGATTACAGGAGGCGCCTCCTTCAGGTAGCTGATTTTAGTTTGTTTAGATATTCAAGATTAAGATTCAAATTTTATTCTCCATAGATTTATATGTGATACAGAAATTTGCTTTCTATTGCTAATATATGGAGAGGCAGATCCTATGAAGGCAGCCCTGTGTGTCGTAGAGAGCGATAGATTAGCGAGTTTTCGCACGGCGATGCAAGTGCTGCCTACGGGGTATTTAAATGAGCCTTGACAGTCTCCTTACTCTAGCTCCTGTGCGATCTATATGCAGTTTCGCAACTCTGAATACGCAGTTTCTACGCTTGCGTGACGTCAGAAAAGTCGTATCACCCGTTTGCACATGTGAAAGTAAACAAGCACTCTGATTGGCTGATCACGCCACCCCGTATTAGCTAACCCCGTCGGCTAAATACTGTCATAGGTTTGGACGCTACACAAACATTTTTGCTCTGAGTGCGACCCCCGCTAATGTTGTTAGATGCCATTTTTTCCCCCCACTCCCATTTTTTTTTTTACTCACTATCACCCCTGGGAGGGGGAGGGGCACTCAACCCTCTGGTGGATGCACCACGATGTAGTAGGTGTTACATGTAGTTAGGTGTGAGGTAAGATTCTGTCTGTTAGCTACATAGACATTGAGTTACCTGTAGATTTAACTTTAAGAAGTATTGTATCTAATTTGATATTTCATAAAATCTATTTTTCTAAGACCATATTAGTGAAAATCATGACATGCAAAAACATAACAAAAGTGTATTTCTTTCATTTCATTTCATTTAGAATGTGCAAACTCAACTTCCTCTTAAAAAGGCTTCAAAAGACAAAGTGAGGTGAAAGGAAAGTGCAACTAAATTCTGCAGTGAAGAAAAATAGATGCAATAAAGGAGAAGAGAAGGCTGCATGCATAATTGGTAGGAAAAAAGGGGAACTTGCTTCCAAAATAGAAGTTAAAAGGGGAGAAGAGAAGATAGAAGGAGGAAAAGAAATAATGCATCCAGAGATAAAGCTAGAGGGAGGAAAAAAGATCCATGGAAGGAATGCTGGAAGATTGCTGGAGGTTTGGAGAGTTCAGCAATGCCGAGGAGAGGAGGAAACGCTCATGGATGGGTGGAGGAAGCTAGTAGAGGATGGTGGAGATGAGGAAGATTCAGACTGGAAGAAATGAAGGAGATTCAGACTGGAAGAAAAGAAGGAGATTCAGACTGAAAGAAAAGAAGGAGATTCAGACTGGAAGAAAAGAAGGAGATTCGGACTGGAAGAAAAGAAGGAGATTCGGACTGGAAGAAATGAAGGAGATTCGGACTGGAAGAAATGAAGGAGATTCGAACTGGAAGAAATGAAGGAGATTCGGACTGGAAGAAAAGAAGGAGATTCAGACTGGAAGAAATGAAGGAGATTTGGACTGCCAAGGAAGAAATGAAGGAGATTCGGACTGGAAGAAAAGAAGGAGATTCGGACTGGAAGAAAAGAAGGAGATTCGGACTGGAAGAAAAGAAGAAGATTTGGACTGGAAGAAATGAAGGAGATTCGGACTGGAAGAAATGAAGGAGATTCGGACTGGAAGAAAAGAAGGAGATTCGTGGGAAGAGGATGGAATGTTCTAGATGTTGTGGAGGTGAGGATGATAGGGAGGGTACCAGGGATAAGGAGAAGAAGGGGATTATCAGAGGATGCACCGTGATGGGATCTTCACTAGAAAGGCACTGAATGTACCAGATGTGATGGAGCCTGAGAGCACAAGGAGGAGTGTTGCGAGGGGCTGGAGGAGAGGAACCAGAAGACGCAGGATAATGAGGAAAGTAAGGAGAATGATGTTGAGGGGATGAGCTAGAGAAGGAGTGCTATGAGGGGCTGGAGGAGAGGGTGGAGGATAACAAGGTTCTGGGATGGATCTGGAGAAAGATGAAGTGGGATGAGATAGAACCAAGAGGAGAAGGAGCTTGAAAAGTGTAATCTAACAGAAGTGATTTGACAAAAATACGTCTTGTACCTATATTTGTTTCTGCTTTTCATTGCTTACTCAAGCAATGAAAACTATCAGAAATGTTGAATCACAGGTTTTCTGAGCAGGAGGTTGCGATAACACTAAAGTCACTACATGGCATCTAAAAAGAAAATACATAACAAAGAAAGAAAGAATGGGAGAGATAATCATTCTACTGTAGGTAGAATGATTATCTCTCCCATTCTTTTGTAGGTATGGCAGCTTCAGAAGAAGGGATGGGAAGGAGAAGGGTAATTAAGACTGAAGAAAGAGGAGGATTAGAGGGGTGAGGTATGTTAAAGAAAAGTCTGTGAGGAGGTAAAACACTTACAAAGGAGAAAATCATGCTAGATAGGCTGTCATTAGTGGCAGCTAGTCCAGTGATCTCGACTGATGGAGCAAAGTAATTAAGAGAAAATATAGTAAAATATAATCTCAAATTACAGACAAACATATAAAGATTTTCATCATACTGTTGATAACTCAAACATTTATCAGGTTATATGCTGATTTTTTTTTTCTCACATAAAATTGCACATTAAAAATGTGATTACTTTAATAGTTTTACTCATGTTGTGACTCGAAAATAAGATGAAATAGAAGTAAAGGGGTCAATTGACGGCATTAATTTTCGTTTGTAGAAACAAGTGGTTTCAGTGAACATTTTTAATAAAATATTTATATGATCTGAAAATCGTTTTATATCAGGAGGGTAAACCGGTTGAATGGATTTTCTGAATGTTTTGTAGTTCAGTTTTTCAAAGAAACTCAACAGAGTTTGCTTCATTTCACTATTGTGACTTCATATTCTTGCAGTGCAATTTTGCTGTTGATGCACTTGCAAACATTCTTTCTGTGTGTGATATGAAATATATAGTAAAATGAATCACTACAGAGGAGTCCCGTCAATGAAAAAAACTTCCACACAGAAAACTCTTCTTATATATGCAGTATTTTAGACTTGCATGTTTATAAAAACAAGGATATTAATGATGATTCTGTAGGAAAGTCAACAGAGTCATGACTTCATTAAAAAGAAGATTCTTCTTTTACATGATTCAAAACAAAATGATGTCGATTTATGATGAGTTTTTGTTAAAGGTACTCCAGAGTCCTAAAACCAAAGACAACTTTGCACACAGAGTGATGTGTTCCAGACAGTGATGTTGATAATAATGATGCTTTTTTTTATCACCTCAGAACTTTGTCACACTGGAGACGGTAGTAAAACAGAAAGCTTTTCTTGTACATAGAGTGATGCCGTGTTAAAAACTATGATGTCAATATATTTTTTTTAATCTGTCACAGAGTGAAAGGAAGACTCTTCTTGACCATGAGAGTATAATTTTTTCTCTACATGGAATAGTGTTATGTTACTGAAAGCCAGAGGGGCAAAACTCATATAAATAACTGCCATTTGACTGTTGGTCTAAGCAACAAAACAGCTGTTTAATTGCTTTTATATGTTATGATGATCATTTGATCATATATTGTAAATACTGTACTTTCATAAATTGATTCAATGCGATTATATGTATATATGTACCTTTGAGAAAGAGTATAAAGCGTGGCTCTGAACAAACTACTACTTAATTGCTAAAAGCATGAACGCTATCATATTGTAAATACTGTTGATGTATCGATTGGATACAGAATTATACTGACTACATTGTTGAAAATGGTATACAACTATATTTGTATTTTTGAGAAATTAAAGCATGAAAAATATGCACACCTGACATACATGATAAAACTTGTGCTACATTTTCACACATTTGAGACATAAATTTATATAAGTACAAGATATATCCTTTATTGACGTTATTTGACATTTTCAACAGGGTTATGATATTGAAATATTACTTTATACTTCTCGTATGTTTAGGCTTGTTTACAAGTAGATCAAGTAATTATATTCAGTCTTTCAATATGGGAACTGTCATATAGAATAAATAAAAATGAGGCAAGTACTTAAAAGGCTCTGCACTTCCAGGTTTTTTAGATGAAGACGATTTTCATAATTTTATTTGGATGCATATGTTCTATAATTGTGCAATTAACATTCTCTTCACTTATACAAATACAAGTTTTAAAACATGAATCAAGTACATACATGTATACATGTGTATTCAAATGACCGAAAAACATATATTTCTGAACCAATTCTACAGGATTCAAGTCTGCCTTATTTACGATACAATGTCCTATGAAATTATTTCATGAATTCATTCATATTTTTCCCACATCACATGCTTGCTTTAATCTGAGTAATGTTATTTTGTTGAATTGTGGTATAGTCATGGGACTTCAGTATGGCACAGGAGTGGGACTTTTACTTCAACTAAGAAGTAAAAACTAAAGTCTTATCGGAATTGTGCTGGTCTGAAAGAAATGTCTATCTGTCAGAAAACCATTGACACTCTGGAGGATATTTTCCCCATTCTCGTTTATTAGGATCAATTTCACAGGATTTTATTTCTCATTACAAGAGAACAATATATTTTTGTACTCGCACACAAGGTATGACGCCGTGGTCATTCCTTGGGGTGTGTTTCCATCACGATATGCACAGTGCACCAATGCCTGACAATGAAATATTTCAGTCATTATCTCTCTAACAGGTACTAATAGTGAATATTTACATTTCTGCTATATTATGCTGCATTAAATAGACACCAAAGCAATGATTTTTCTGGTATTCCAATATGGTCGAAATGAATACATGTAGTATTACTTATATGCTTCTCTGGTACACACACTGAGTAGACTTGTTTGATGCAATAATATTTACTTTACCATTACAAAACATATAAAATACGTAAGCTCTTGCCACCTAAGTTTAACTGTCTTGAAGCTTGAAACTTCAGCAAAAATGCAATAATATGATATGTCGAACACAGTGCCACAAAAATTTGCTTGATTTTGCAAACTAAAAGTGCAGACATGCATATATTTTTTTATAAATATTTAGTTATTGAAACATATGATTAGTTTGTTTTGTTGTACATCATGTTCATTTCACAGCTCCAAGATTGTTAGAGATTATATTGTTCACACAAAACATTTCTATGAATATACATCTCTTTTCGTAGCAAATTAAGTTACATTTTGAAAGTTGTTTATGTCTGATCATATTTATGTACAGTTATATATATATATATATATATATATACACAATTCAATTCCTGTACTAAGATGCCTAATGTTTTTTTGTATATAACCGATAAGCCCGATATGACATCTCATTATGCCATAAATACGCAGCAACAAAAAAATATGATGTATATATATGTTCACTAGGTGTTGGATTTGTTACCAAACAAAATCATATATAAAGCACCAACAAAATGGTGGAGTTTTTAGTCTCTATTTGATATATGCCATGTGATCGTTAGTCTATTTGATTGTATTTAATTACTATTTGTTATTGCTCTTTTCCTGGAATACATTTACATGTACTGCAAAGATTTATATTAAGAAGATAAAATGGACATGCATATGGATTAAGTAATTGTTTTGTATGCAGTATATGTACAGGACATCTATGTGAACTAAAGAAGTACTGTGTATGAACTCTAAGCATAGTTTCCTAATAATAATACACAGTTGTATACAATAGTTGATATTATACTTGAAATGCAAAGTTGTGAATATATGATAATTGTACAAACTTTCATGTGTGGTGAAAAGTTTGTAAAATGCTACAAGACTGTATACAACATACATGCCAACTGTTCAGATTAAAGAGGAACATTCCTCTTTTTGGGAGAAGATAATTATCATTTTAATGCAGGTGTTCCTCTTCCTGTACAAATTTGTCTGTAGTATTGAATAGGAGAGTTAGGATTGTTCCTCTCTTTTTTTAAATAGCATAATTTGTACAGATTTCTGATTTTCAAATGTTGGCATGTATGATACAAGATGACTGAATCGAAAATTGAGAAACTTTATTTCATTTGAGATATGGAATTTATAACTAGAAACACTAAAATATTATTACACATGTATCTAAATACACAAGTGTAATTTACATTTGTATATTACCCTTGTACCTGTACAGATATAGCTATGTCATTTTGGCTTGTGTCATGTTCTTTAGACTATACTTATTCTCTAAAGGGAACTGTATGTGAAATGGAGAACTGTTTGACTTTTATGCATACCTAAATGGGTTCCATATATATCGTCGCTGTTTTCACGAAGTGACGGTAGTGAAAAAAAATTGCATTCACTTTGCGTTACGATTTTCCTCACTACCGTCACTTCGTGAAAACAAGGACGATATGATGGAAATACAAAATATATATGACTTTCTATTTGCCATATAAATGTGTACATTCAACAAGTAGATATTAAATGACTGTATTTGGATGAACTTTTACGTTTGGTGTCACTGGCGTATCCAGTCAAAGCAGGGGGTGATTCCTCCCTCCCTACACTGAGGGCAAACTGTATGTGTATATGTAGGTGCTGGGATCAGTGAAATCCAGGATCTGGACAGTGTTATTTTATTTTGGGATCACCATCCATCCCTTATCTACTGCAAGCCAGAGATGACATGATTCACGGATCCGTTCGCATCGATGCTGTATGGACCAGTTTTATGGACTAGCCTCGCCGGGCGTAGAAATTCGGGGATCATGTCATCTACGGCTTGCATGCAGCAAGTAGGGAGTGATTGTGCTGGTGGAGATTAGATTTCAATACATGTTTTCATTTATTTCTTTATCCTTGCCTTCATAGGGGAGGGGGTGTACCCCTGCTCCATATTATATGCCGGATATGTCACTCAGTCTAGAATGATGCTCATTGTCATTCTAATGTTTATGAATGTTTATGATTACTTCTTTATTGCTAAATACTTACCATATTTTCATGTGTACCGTCGTGATGTACATTTATTCACTCCTATATGTTGTATTTGAGCAA